AGACACAGGTTTAATTAATCGTTTTAATAAGTATCACATTGAACAGAAAGACCATTAAATTATTTGTCGCAGAAAACAATGTTTTGTTAATGTATTGTTAACTGTTTTGTTTTAAGGTAAGATTCTGTCGAAAATAATTTAAAAATTTAACAACATTTAAATATTTAATGTAACTACCAAAGGTAACCAAAAAAATAAGGACAGGAAAGTTACTGGCTACATTCTCAATAAATTAATCCACCATATTAATATTAATATAAAAATAAAATTTTCGTCGAAATAATTTAAATCACTATTGAAATACGCACCGTGAATTTGCTCATGTTTACTTTTCTCTTGACTCTTGACTTTGTAAGACAAAACTGCCCACCAGAATATATTTAGGATCGTTTTATATGCGTACAATATAAATATTGATGTTTATTAAGAGCACACTCCGATAACCCTTGACCAGACGCTCTTGGAAGCCGAAAATATCTAAAAACAATAGATAGTGATTTCCTAAAACTGAAGATTTTTTATCAGTTTATACTTAAAGGTATCCACAGACTATCAACTAAAAGAAAGGTTCATAACATGCTCATAGCACAAATTGCAACAATGTTTTAACTGTGTACTTTATTCAAATTAGGTGCATTTTGATTTGGAGATGTAGTGTATCGATAAACGTTTAATTTGATGTCTTTCAAACTACACTAATCAAATCGTATAGACTGATACCACTGCCTAGCAAAAATCCGACATGAAACACCTACAGCGTTTGGTTTTGCAATGTGTTCTTGTTGGCTATCTAATGCCCAATCTTTCTCCTGGCACCGTCCTACCCAAATCCTTTAATTCCCAAAACCCTCATCCCCAAAATTACAGCAACGCACTCGTAACTCCTCTGATATTGTGGGTGTCCACTATTCATAGATGGCGTCAAACATCACACATCATCAGCCTGTGTGTGCCCATTACTGAGCAAAGACCTCTATTCACACTACAGGTTTGAGCATTAATCACTATGCTTGCTCAAGGCGGATTGGCGATTTGAAACTTATAATAAGAAATTTTAATTGTAGGTTTCCTCGCGGTGTTTTCTTCACCGTATGTCAGTGGTGTCTAAATAGTCATAGAACCACCAGCTTCTTATACATAAAGATGCGAGTTCGAAACCTGGCAAATACTCGTAACAATGTGGATGGCGTCAATTACTTACTTAATTGGTAATCCGTATGCTCGTTTGTCCCCTTATCACATCAAACCATATTTGTTAGTGTAATAGCTAAAGAACTACAGTATGTACATTCAATTATATTTTTTATTGGCCATGAACCCAACGACCAGGCACTACACTTTAAATTGGTCAACGATCGTAGGTTTTCAAGTTTGATAAACAATTAAAGTCCACATAATTTCCGTCTTTGATAAGTAGCATAAACATGAATTTTTCTTATGAGTACTTTTTGTCGAGATAGGTCGGCAAACGAACTAGCGTATACCTGATGGTAACCAATCGGTGCCGAGCATGGGTACCCGCAACACCAAAAGAGTTATGAGTCCGTTGCCGGCCTTTTAGGGATAAGGATTTTGGATATTTAAGGATTGGGAAGAGGTGGGGAGAAGGGGAGGGATTGGGCCTCCGGTAACCTCTCTCGCACGGCTAAGCACAACGCTGTGGTTGTTTCACGCCGGTAAATTACACAGTATGACTAGTTTTAAATGTCTTATCACGGGTACCTACTCGTATTTGCGGGTGGTGCCGAGACTGAAAATCCCACATTCCGTTGCCACTGTTAATTAAAGTTGCCTATTTAATAAAAAAGTCACTTTACATTAATATGGTATTATTATATTATTATAATTAGATGGTTATTATTATACTTAGAGTGAATCGTAGATGAGCTATTATGTCATCATTTTTATTGAAGTTTCGGACTGTGCATTTATAATACAATATTATAAAGCTGCAGAGTTTATTTGTGTGAAAACGCTAATCCTCGGAAGTATCAGTTTGAATGGAATAATGCTCTTTGTGTTTCTTAGTCCATTTACGCGCGCTTCCTCAAAGCGTACTGGTGATTTTAAACTTATCTATACCTACTTAGAAATTATAATCACAAAAAAAGTTATCTTCTTTTGTTCCTTCACCGCAAGTCAGTGCTGTCTAAATAATCTTGTCACATCGGTACGTGGCAGGTTTCAAAATCGTACCTCCTTGCACGATAAGCGCGTTAAGCGCCGAGCCACCACGACGTACCTATACCAATAAGCTATTACCTAAAAATATAATTTATAAATATTTACCAACGTATTACCTACTTTGGTAAAATATTTAGCATTACATAACCTTTGATACTAAGAGATATGTACATCGGACTTTATCTCTCGATCCCGTGCGTTAAAAAAGAACCATTTATGTGTACGCAGAAATGAATTGAAAACACCAGCAAATGCAGCTATACCGAAAGTTTCATTGAATTTTCAACTTTATATTCAAACGATAGGGTTAATAAACAATTGAGGAAGTTTGATAATTTGGTATAGTTTGCTGTTCTGGCTTGTAGACACTCTCGGGTTAACTGTAAATAAAAATATAAAGATAATAATAATTGTAATTTGCAATAATGATTATAAAGTCACTGTTGGTCTGATTGTAATTTTATTTATCGGTTCGAAGAACTCTAGTTCTGCCATCAACATTTATTTTTACCGCCCGGTATTAGGCTTGCTCGTGACCTGACTAGAATCAGACCAGCACTTTTGTTCAAGTGCAATAATCGTGGCCCCGACCTTTAGGAGGAGAAGGAACGGAATGGGTTTTAGTCAATAAGAGCCTGACACTTGCCCTACCTAGGGCGAGTGAAGTCACTTGACGATTTTTCCCCTTCAAGAATTAAAAGGAATGAAATCTAATAATCTGCTGCTGCTTCTTCAGCTGTTCATTCAGTTTTCCGGAGTAAATTTCAGTAGCTAGAGTCAGAGATCGTGGAGTAAATTAATGCCTTGGTAGCAGTGGTAAAATGCGGAACTAGGGGTTTCTGGTGGAATAACTCCAGCAAAATACTCATTAATAAAATCAGTCATTCGGCTCCATGAGTTAGAGATTGCTATGGCAAGCAAAAAAGTCAAATCTTTTTTAATATAAAAATGAATCGTGAAATGTGTTGGTAAGCGTAAGTCAATAACCCCTGAACCAATTTTGACAATTCTTTTTTTTTTTGTTTAATGCTTTATTGTTAGCGGAAGGTTTTTACGAAAGAAAATTTTAGAAAAGTAAAGGTTGATAGCAGGAATTGACAACCCTTTCAGAGTCAGATACCCGTTCGAAGCAGAGGCGGCGGTACAATAATTAATAGCTTCATTAACAAGCGAAAGTTGCTGCTATGATGAGACCATCAGGCGCACGAACAAGTCCGTGGACTTTGAAAGCAACGGTTTTCGAAGAGAAAATATAAAGTTTTCTATGTCATTTTAATCCAATAAGGTTCAATTTACAACACACTCTTCGTAGTCGGTTACGTTTCTTTAAGTCAGGTTATAGCTAAAATGTAGGCTAACTTTAAGTGCAAATATAGCACTTTGTGTTGCTAATATGTGAGATCGTATTACCTCAGAGTTTGTTATGCCAACAAAACTGCATCAACCTTCAGTATCAGAAGGCCAAGTTTTAGATAAATGCGTCGTTTCCTAGACTATCTGACAAGGTTTATGTACGTACTTAGTATTTAAATATTACCTAAATTTTTGTTTGCAGTTTTACCTGGCAAAAAGGTCTTTCTGAAGTATGAAGCTCCTAATTCCTACATAAGTCCTTGTTTCTTTTTGTATGTATTAATAGTCAATTGTAATAAGAAACTTTTTTTATGGTATAGGGGGCAAACGAGCACACGGAAGACTGCACATTTTTGTGGGATAAAGAGTAAACTATAGCATAGGAGTGTTTCAGTTCAGATGATCACTATAAACATCGGTTTCCGCCAAGCAATAAGTGGCTAATTGTCATAGGTCGAGAAGATCCATAATAGTCTGTCGAGAGGTACTGAAGTACATCAGTATCTAGGTAATGTGCAAGTGTCAATTCCAAAAATGATCCTTTTTTATTATAATATATAAATAGTATATGTTAGTACATAATAATATAGTATCTTCCTCTAAATGAATTCTAAATGGAGGTTTAATAATGACGTTATTCGGTAAATAAAAAAGAATCATTTTTATTATCAACTAGCGACCCGCCCCCGCTTCGCACGGGTCCAACCTATCTGGCTAACAACGAAACGTTTTCCCAGTTTTTCCCTCTACTTTGCTAATATTTTTTTGATAAGAACCTTCTCCTGAAAATAACAAACACAACAAAAAAGGAATTAGCAAAATTGGTCCAGGCGTTGTTGAGTTATGCGTTTACCAACACATTTTGCGATTCATTTTTATATTATCAATAGTAATGTAGGTACATATAATAGGCTAACAACAACAAACCAGAGAGCTTTCAGTTTCAACTTATTTGTAGACTATTTACAAAGTAACTTTCTGCTTCACACAGCAAAACTTTGGAATGATATTTTGGAAGCAATATTTCCGAACCAATACGACCTTCAAACCTTCAAGAAGCGTATCCCTTCTTAGAATACCGGTAATGCGCCTTCGACTTCTTTGGTGAAGAATCACTTACCATCAGGTGATCCATTTGCTAATTCGACTCCTATTTCAAAAGCAATAAATTGCATGGTCAGACAACTTATTCTGAGCCATCGAAAATACATTTCTGGAAACTATAACCACAACAAATGATATGACGTAATTGGCATATTAATAAATTGGATTCTTAGTCAAATTGATTGTTGATGGTTACAGACACGGATGCCATTTGTTAGACCACATCATTATCACGTTCATGAGAATGTTGCACGGTGACAATATTCTTTATTGGAAGTTTACACGTTCCATTGTCGGTGTTACGTTTACATTTGACCGCGTCAGCGACTTTGATACTGCTTGACCATTTTGTTTACTCATACTTGTTAAGACTTCTTTGGTAAAATCCTGATATATATAGACTGTCTTGTAGCAAATTGGCACAGTACTCTCAGCTGCTAGGAAGGGACATTCGAAAATGTAAGTGTTTGTAATATTTTTGAATTTAAAAATGTGTTCTATTTATTTTTTTGGTCTTTTATGATAAATTGACAGAGTGATGCGGTAGATTTAGATCTCCATGGTTTTTGCATTTCCTACTTATTTTTTTTTTCTTTTTTTTTTGTTATTTATGTATTACTTAGTGCGGCTGTCCAGCGTAAAGTTTTAGTTTCTAAATGAATTCGGATACGATAAAATAAATCATTCAATTGCACTGGATACCGACTGTAATGCATGTTATTTATAAATTATACTAAACAATAGCAATGAATTATTATTTCTACATAACCATTTTTTTAAATAACTTAATACCAATTACAATGGATAATTTTTTTTACCATTTCCAGCTAAATATGAAGAGTATCCTAGTTCTGTGTTTGTTGGTGGCGGCTGTCTCGTGCAGACCAGAGACTTACGACACTAGATATGACAACTTCGATGTCGAGGCATTGGTTGGCAATGTTCGGTTGCTAACTGCGTACGGACATTGCTTCCTTGGCACCGGACCCTGCACGCCTGAGGGAAGTGACTTTAAAAGTAAGTTGATTATCATATTAATTATTAATTTAAATGGTAATTTTTTATCGTTGCAAATATAAAGTTCGTTATTTTTTTAAGTAGCGAGGTGAGCTCCGTATTACTAGTATCGATATTACTTTTTTAATTTACTAGTTTTCTTAGGTCTAGCTAGGTTGATTTTTCGACCCTAAAATCCTTTACAAATAAAATTTGATTTCATCGTAATTTTTGGAACTGTTTTCGAGACCTTGTGAATATGTTTCAAACCAAAAATCATTTAAATAAAAACTTTCTTTTTGTTTAAAATTATCTGAAGATAATAATAATGGTTTTTATATATATATCTGTATATCTAAATAAATATCCCAGTATAGTTTGTATAAAAGATTCAAATTGGACACGATGAACGATAAAATACACAGCTCCTAGTTATTTACGTTCATATTACTTCCGACAAATATTTGTGGCACATACCTACTTAGTCGAACTAAGTTACATTATTCCTTACTCGTGTCTTATTCTATTACAAAAATCTTAATGAAGAACCCATCTGTGGTTCGAAACTAGTAGAGCTTTTCTCAATTTACAAACGTGAGTAACCCGCGATTTTTAGTTTATTTATTTATTTATTGTAAGGTAGGTTCACAGCTTATTTATACAAAGTGGTTTAAAGTAATGAATATAGGCAGTAGGTCATATACATTAGCCAGTTACGAGCTAACCAACATTCTAGAAATTATGCGTTTATACAGACAAAATATGTATATAGAAATTAAAACTAGAACTAATTAAACTAACATAGGTAAGACAACAGTATTAATCATATATTTAGTTAATTTAGTATGTCTCACGATAGTTATTATACAAAAATACAAAAATCTTAAATGTGGACATCAATTCCATTATGATCAATTCACATAATGCTGAATTATGGACTATCAGGCCTTCCTTATACATATAAGAGGTTTTGCCAATTATCATCGCGCTTAGCAGGCATTAAACAACTATGATAGAAAAAACTTTCTAAGTCCTTTCTCAACGGTATTAAATAATGTATTGGTGAGCTTATAAAACACACACATATTTAAAAGAGTAACGTTAGTTTCTTGCTCTTTCTTTTCCATTCGAATCTACACTTTGGAACGAGCACCTAGCTTCCCCAACGAATAGACTGATAGACTAAGCTTGATGTTTCAAAAGTACCTTTTAACCGAACGACTTCCAAAAAGGAGGATGGTTCTCAATTCGACCGTATGTATGTTTTTTTATGTTTGTTCGCAGATATCTCCATTATTTATAATTATGGTTTAGTTTGATTAAATTATTTTGATTATGACTTGAAAATGCATGCCTCAATTTTGACTATAAATATCTTTACAGAAACCATCCCTGATGCCCTAAGGACCGGCTGTGGCAAATGTTCACCGAAACAGCGCCATTTAATCCGTGTCGTGGTGCAAGGGTTCCAAAATAAGACCCCAGCTCTTTGGCAGCAGCTGGTCAAGAAGGAGGACCCCAATGGAGAGTACAAAGAAATCTTCACCAGATTCTTGAACGCCAAAGACTAAATGACCAAAGATTTTTAAACAAGGAGGTTCTACCAGAAACGATACTTTTGCTAAGTAATACCAAAATAAGTTATAAGAAGTTTATTAAAACCTATTTTAAGTAATTTAGCTAAAATAAGTTTTTAAGAATCTTGTGATTGTTGATTGAGTTCTTAGAAATAGGTTTTGTTGTGTATAGTCTGCATTTAAATTTGATCTTTAGGATAAACCCATAGAGTCACAAATACCTAAACGGTAATAGTTGGCGTTGCGTGAAAGACAAATTAACAACTTTGGCTTTGATTATGGCTAGGTTTACAAGACGTGTTTTCATGAACACAACACACATACAAATGTACAAATATACAGATTTTACTTATGAAAAAAGATGGAGTAAACGTATCGCATCATGTGAATATTAAAGCCTCCTTTTTGTTATACATCACATTAATTTTTAACTAATTTTAAATATTATATTTATTTCTATTGTATTTGTTCTTAAAATAATAATAAAATTATTACTTTAAAATATGTTTTATTGCACCTATAATAAAATATGCTATGAAACAATAATTATCATAAATTTAACTGTTAGAATTTTTTTAAGCACTAGGTTTTCAAGAATATAAAAAACGCCACTAAATAAAAAATGCGTCTACATTTCATATTACAGCATTTAATGCTAACAAATATTGCATTGTTTTATAGGCTAGGTTCCCATCAATAAGAACATAGGTACCAAACATTTATTATGTACCTAAATAAATAATTCTACAGCTTAGTCGTTAATGAAATTCGAATTTTAACTAAGGATAATATAAACATAATAAACAAAAAAACTTAGAAAAATACTTTTTTTCTGAGAGATTTAATGATAGTAAAATTATAAAGTATTCAACATGAATGCTGTTGTTTACTAGAACACTTCTTCGGAACTTCTGATTCGAATAAACCAATCCTTTTTATGTTGATGGTCCATACATTGATGAAATTTAAAGGCTATAAAACATCACGCTACGAACTATAGGAGACGAGTTCAGGTTGTAAACCAGCGGAAGTAGCGACTTTTTATATAGATATTTTTACAAAAACAAATACCTGGAAATAAAAAAAAGAACATTTCACAGTCACACAACTCAATGCTTTGAGTTTATTATAAGGCGTCTTAAACGAAATATTTTAAAGCATAAATAATTTTGACGGCTTATATCAGCCAAATCGGCACCGGCGAATCTCTATAAATACCTACATTTATTTTTTATATATATACATCTACACTGTCTTGTTTACGATAGACAAATATGTAGTCTGACTAGTAGACAACCTTGCACTAATAATAAAAATTAAATGTTCGAATTTCCATAACTAAACTTTTTAAATGTTAGACCATTTTGCTTAGTCTACATCATTCCAGTTTGGGACGCGTCCTCTTCAATGTGAGTGCTCTTTTATTTATTTTCCATTTGTCTGTTTGTGATCCTGTCTATGTAGTATTTCTTTTTTATTTTATTTTTTCACTTTTAATAGCCATTTGACGCTGAAATCATAAGGGATACCTATAATATCTAGACAATTTTGATGCCCTCATATTCAATTCATTTCTTAATTTCGATATGATTGTGAAACTTATTCAAAGGATAATATCTATCCGTGCCTTGATAATATGATAATATAATAGGTAGATACTAATATTCTACATACATGCAGGATTTCTATGTTTAATAATTAATTAAAAGGATTTATTGAGTGCTTTTGAGAGAAAAAGTAAAACATCGTGTTGTGGTGGCCCGGAGGTTTAAGGAGCCCGCTTCTCATACATGAGGGTGTGGGTGCGAAACCTGGCAAGTACCAATGTGACTATTTCCGAGTTATATGTACTTTCTATGATTATTTAGACACTACTGACATACGGTGAAGGTAAACATCGTGAGAAAACCTGGACTTATAATTTCTAATTATAAACGCATTGAGCAAGCGTGGTGATCAATGCTCTAACTCTACCTTATGAGAAGAGACCTTTGCTCAGCAGTGGGCACTTATAGGCTGATGATAATGAGAGTAAAACATCCTTACTTATAACGTATTATTTTATGTAATCAGTGATAATGAATCTTACGGGTCTTACTTAAGGACTGGTTATATTTTTACAGATACTTGTAATATTTTAAGACTGAAGATGATTGTGTACTCTCTTTGTCTCATTTGTCCCAAAGGTAATCAAGCATTGCATCTAGTTGTTGTTAAACATTGTCCCCATTTAAGTAATGTCTATAATTAATTAAGGCTAATGGTTTGCTACTACGTTTCATATGAGGAGGATTTTTAGCTAAAAAGTGTCTTATATATGTACATATATTATTGCTATTCTATACCCTAGGCTATCCTTTATCCTTCTACTGTTTCCATTTTATTTGTGCGTTCGTTTCCATTCACGGGACAAGAGAGTCCCGGGACTTTGGTAGGAGTGCGCGCTCCCGAGCGTACGGCGCGTAGCGTTCCGCGGGCGCCATTCGACCACCACAGACGGGGCCCTAAAGGGCTGATGTTCAGCCGGGGTTGCGGGGTAAGCGCAATGAGGTACCGCGACCTCGGCACAGAGCAGGAGAAGGAACAGGGGGGTTTTTAGTCAGTAAGAGTCTGGCACTCCCTCCCGCCCGGCCCTGGGCGGGAGAAGTCATTTGATGATTTTCCCCTCACAAAAAAAAAGGAGTACGCGGGCTCGAAGCAAATTCGCAGAGGCCCGTTGAACATTTTTAATCTAAATGTGCTAGGACATCAGGTGGCAATTATCCCTATATCTACTGTAAAATTGCACCCGAGAACAATACCCATTATCTATACTATCGACTACAACGGCTTATTATCTATACTAATATTAAATAGAGGTGAAATTTGTATGTTTGTAAGTTCCTCCGTCGGTCGGATTGCCAAAATCCTTTTACTGATAGATAGCTGCAATGTTCCTGTGTGCCATAGTCTATAAAACATCACGCTACGATTAAATGGAGCAACGGGTGAAACCGCGCGAGAATAGCTAGTTTTATATATTCAGACTCTTTTTTACTAAACTACTCTGCCTTCTCTTGCTCCTAATCTGGCCACGATACATTACTGCGTTTTGCACCCACACTGTCCAGGCATATAAACCTAAGTTCGAATGAAATACACTACTATTAATGCAGTCGATTTTGACAACAACTGACCTTGATTTCATTTGCACACCTGTTCTAATTTAAATATCTCATTAATTCATATTTTTATTTATTCAAATTTTTATCTAGTATTTCATTTTGCCATCTGGTTGCACTTTACAAAAATTTATAATCTACATACCTAGTTTGTTTGTATTGGTGTAGCTGTCTGGCCCGTTTTTCTAGAAGTTCAATATAGGATATTTATTCATGCTTTCTTTTAGACACAAATGACGGAATGTCATGAAGAAAGCATGATCTAAAACAACTATTCTAAGTTATTTTTTTACCTATTCTCAACGTTATTCTTCAAAAAGCTCAAGGTTAGGATTTGGTAAGTGTGGGAGAGCCATGCTTTGGTCTCACAGAAAATTAGTATGAAGCAACACCGGAGGTTACCGGAGGCCCAACCCCTCCCACTTGCCCAATGGCTCCCCAATCTCCCAATCCCTTATCCCAAAAAGGTCGGTAACGCACTCGTAACCTTCCTGTTGTTGCGGGTTTCCATGGTCGGCGCTAATTGCTTACCTTTATGTTATCCGTCTGCCGGGGTTGCGGGGTAAGCGCAATGAGGTACCGCGACCTCGGCCCAGAGCAGGAGAAGGAACAGGGGGGTTTTTAGTCAGTAAGAGTCTGACACTCCTTCACGCCCTGGGCGGGAGAAGTCATTTGATGGTTTTCCCCTCATAAAATGGGGAATCCGTCTGCACGTTTGTCGACCTATCAATTAAATAAAAACATCAATTTTATCTCCTAGCAACAACCGCTGAAAGATGACATCGCTATAAAATTTATCATTGAATAAATTATTACATTTTAAAACTTGTGTTATTATCACATTTTTATTAGGTATCATCAACTGAACTTAACTTACCTTCTTATATACTTACACTAGCTTTGTCCGCGACTCCGTTCTCGTGAAATAGTGTCTTCCTGCAGATTTTTGGTTTAAAAACTATCTACTAACTATGTCCTTTCCCGATTTCCAAACTATGTCCGTACCAAATTTCACAGAAATCGGTTCAGTAGTTTAGGTAAGCGTGAAAAAAGACAGACAGACAGAGTTACTTTCGCATTTATATTAGTATAATTATAGTATAATATAATAATATAAAAGTATATTAGTATAGATATAGATAAGCTCACCTTATGTACTTATTTAGTTTTGGTCAGGATTGCGGTTAAAGTCCAATTAAATAAAGCGACCCGGCTCGGAATAATGTTGAGTTGTTTCATTCAATAGAGTCTGATAATGACTCGTGTCATCTTGAGCTGGAGAGAAAAAATACCTTGCCTGTTTTGAAACGCCTATTAAAATATCTTAGCACACTTAAAAGTTGAACTTATAAAATGATTGCACAAACGCAATTCTCAGGCGCCTATCAGTTTTATCTGCTTTAGCTATTTTAAAACAGCTAAATACTTACCAAAAACATTTTGTGTGACGTAAATTTTACTAAATTGTAGTAACTACTTCAAATTTTAGACTGCGTTCTTTTTTAGGCATTAGCTGGTACGACTGCCAAACAAAGGGTTCTGGTGTCAAGGAAGGAACATTTGTGCAATTTTTTCAGTAATAGTGCGGTGTCTAAAATCCTGCCTGGTATAAAGTACATTCATTCCCTTTTTCATTGGGCTGTTTACATAACCATTGAAACGTCAGTGTACGTGCAGTGTATTGGTATTATGAGTATCACTGCTCACCTATTTAGGAAAAAAAAGGCGAGATGATTTAAAATATACACAAAACATCTTTTACTGGCGATCCGGCTTCGCACGGGTACATAATGTTCCTATTTTTCTCCACTATATGCATACATGTAATTAGGTAGGTACGCATATAAACCCTCCTCTTTAATTACTCTTTGTAGTAATAAAAAACCGTATCAAAAATCGTTGCGTAATTTTATAGATTGAAGCATCCAATATGATTCAATACATAGGCTTTGTTTTACTACGACGAGAATCCTACAGACCAAATCAAAGGAACTTAATCATTCCAATTTTTGTTTTCAGATAAGCAAAATGAAGTACATTCTAGTCGCCCTCGTTGCAACCATTGCGGTGGTGAAGGCTCAAGAAACTTATGGAACCCAGTATGATAATGTAAACGGGGAGGCTATCGTTTCCGACGATCAGCAGTTCCAAAGTTTCGTCGACTGTTTCATGGGCGCCGCTACATGCAACGAACCCGCCGCTGCTTTTAAAAGTAATACATTTTGTATCAATAATTACATATAATATTGTGTAATGAATGCTCAAAGATATTTAATGATTACTTTATCTATTTCTTAGTAATGATTTTGTTAGAAAATTACTAAAGACTGAGTAAAATATGACTATTATGTACTTAGATAAACATTAACCGTTATCGTTTAAATAGACATTAGGTTTAAATCAAACAAATTAATTGTTTTCAAACCGTCATGCTTCTCAGAATTACTAATCAAATCCATTCACTCATAAAATGCTTACTGAGGAAAATGGTGTAAATTCCAAGTTGTTTGTGTGTGTAAAGAAAAATAATTTATCAATAATCGAATTATTGTAGTATTTTGTACGATTTTTCCAGTAAACCATCGATATTTTTTAGGATTTGCGTAAATTACCTTTAAACTATAATTTTTTTTTCTACAGAGGTTCTACCTGAAGCAATTGTGCAAGCTTGTGCCAAATGCAATCCAGCGCAGAAGCACTTAGTAAGGGTTTTCTTAGAAGCCTACTCGAAGAAAATGCCCCAAGAGTATGAAAAGTTCAAAGACTTATTTGATCCTGAAAGAAAATACTTCCCTAAATTCGAAGCGTCTGTTGCTGGATTTTAACTATGAAATGAATGGAAATTATAATTATAAACAATTTACTTAGTTCATTTACTTACTATTAAAATACTCTATGTTTGACACAATTTGTTTTTTTTACGACTGTTTTGGACATATTTAGTCAGTGATTTTACCCAAAATTCAGGAAATGTACTTGTCTATATGTTGTAAGACTAATTAAGTCAATTTATACAATGAATTTACGTACTTATATTACTTAATATACATATACAGTGTTGATCTATGAATCAGAACCAAAAATAAACTTTAAATGAACACGAAGACATGTCTACGACAAAATAGATGAATATCAATATAAAGTGTGGAAAATCCAGACTATACATACAGTATCTATATGATTAATTAATTATGTTATCTTCTACGCCACCTTGGGACCAATAAATAATTCTGCGATTTTCAATTATAAATAAATATTAAAATCTGAATCTTTGATAAGAGGAGAGACAGGTAAGGAAAGAGAGAGTGTCCGACTCTTACTGACTGACCCCCCTCCCTCGCGGTCCTTTTCCTGCTTTAGGCTGAGGCCGCGGTCCCTTGGGATAGGGATTAGGAGATTTTGGGATTGCGGAGAGATTGGGGAAGGCAAAGGATTGGGCCTCCGGTAACCTCACTAACACGGTAAAACATAACGCTGTGGTTGTTTCAAGCCGATTTTCTGTAAGGCTGTGGTATCACTTAATTAGTGTTCATATTGACGTTGTTACATAGACTATGCGTAAGCGCAGCATGGCGCGTCGCCACCGGATCTCGTAATTAACCTTTCTGTTGTATTATTGTCAGCCTCAATGCAACTGCATGTGAAGGATGTCTTTGTGGGTGAGTGATCGCTAATGAGGTTGTTGAATAAGTGTGTTAGGGAAGTTACAAGTTTAAAGGCTCATTTATAGGATACAATTTTCTTGAATAAACTAGAGCAAATACAAATATAATCTCGATTTCTCTGGTCTTCCATTATCAGATTCTAATTTTCTTGTCATGGGACTCTTCTGGGACTATCTCCTTTCCAACGATACAAAAAGTATCAAAATCGGTTTAGGTATAAATAACGAAGATGTCAGCGAACAAAAAAAAAACATGTATACGGTCGAATTGAGAACCCTCTCCTTTTTTGAAGTCGGTTAAAAACAAACATCTTTTTATTAAAATTATACTATTTTATTAGACTTCCTAATATTTATTTTTAGGTACTAAGTATAAATAATCTGAGTAAAAGAACATACATTTATTTTCTTCGCATTTTTAACAGGAGACAAACAGAATTGACATTTAGATAGATATAATTTATATATCTCAGGTGATATTCACAAGTGGTATGTCTCAACGCATTAATCTTGCAATATGCCAAGGCGATGCAAATGATACAATAAATAGGTATTACGGTAGAGTCTGAGGATTTAGCTTCATTGTATCTGGTTTTCGTATAACCTTTAATTATTACAATTATTTACAATTCTATAACTATTGTCAAGTGTAAGTGAGCCATGCTAAGTGTGGGAGAGCCACGCTTCGGCACGAATGGGTCGGCTCTACCGGAGTGATACCACGGCCTCACAGAAAACCGGCGTGACACAACCACAGCGTTGTGTTTCGCCGTGTGAGTGAGGTTACCGGAGGCCCAATCCTTCCCCTCCCCCAATCCCTCCTCAATCCCTAAATCTCCTAATCCCTAATCCCTAAAAGGTCGGCAACGCACTCGCACCTCCTTCGTTGCGGGTGTCCATGGGCGGCGCTGATTGCTTACCATCAGGTTATCCGTCTGCTCGTTTGCTGACCTATCACATAAAAAAAACTATTAAATAAATTGTAACAAATGCCCACTCGCCAGCTTCTCATGCATGAGGGTTCGAAACTTGGCAAGTACTAATGTGACTTTTTCCGAGTTAAATGTACCTTCTATGATTATTTAGACACCTCTGAAATATGGATAGTGAAGGAAAACATTGTGAGCAAACCTGGACTTTCAATTTCTAATTAAGCCTTGAGCAAGCGTGGTGATTAATGTTCAAACGTTCTCCGTATGAGAAGAGGCCTTTACTCAGCAGTGGGCACTTATAGGCTGATGATAATAACAAATGTCTTGTGTTCACACTCACAATAAAGATAATGTTTTTATTTTCCTATATGATGTGACCACAACTCAAGCCCCTTTTTTTTGTCAGGGGAAAATCATCGAATGAGAAGCCGTTCGATGATTTTCTCTCTCTCGCCTTACCAGTGTCAGACTCGTAATGACTAAAACCCCCCGTTCCTTCATCTGCTCTGGGCCGAGGTCGCGGTGCCTCATTGCGTTTACCCCGCAACCGCGGCTGAACATCAGCCCTGGTGTGTGCATCAGGTGGTCTATTGGCTCTTTGAGGCGCACGGAACGCTACGCGCCGTACGCTCGGGTCTGGTTTCGTCGGGCGGCGAGCTACCCTTACATGCCGTCCGCAGACCAGCGCTTACGGTGGCAGGAGATCATCTCTCAATCCCCGACGCCCGGAATGTCGCCTACTGCGGCGGCTTGGGCGCGAGGAGGATAGTTCCCTCAAAACTCAGGCCCCTTAAGATACAGGTAAAGCCTAGTTTGGGGGCCTATTATTATCATGTACCACCCATACTTACTATAGTTTCCTAAAACTAAAATTACCTATTCATTCGAGAGATTGAGTATCCTAAGATTTCCTATACATTCGATGGTACATTATATACATATAAGACCCTTTTTTCCAGACATCTATTTTTTCGAAAATCGTATAAACTCCCTAAATAGAAAATAGATAACCAACATTAGAGCAGCTTTACCTCAGTAGTATATTTAATATTATACAAGTAGGTACTTATCAGTACATTACAGGTAACCGCAACAACAGATAAAGATGGAGATCTTCAACGAATGATGTAATAGTGTTGTACAATGAAAAATTTATTTCTGTCCATTCTAGACTACATACAGTATCGAATAAACAAACAGTTGATAGAAACTTCATTAACAAGTCACGTCCTAATAGGATAGGTCACCTTAAATTTGTCAAAAAAATACATCTTCTAAAGACATTTCGATAAAATTGGTATCGCTGAGATACTCACTTTATTCCTCGGTATCGCCTGTCTTTGTTATTATTTTTGTTTATATAGTACAATAAACACTGATAAATATAGGTCAAATATAGGTTTGGAATTGTTTGGTTCGTCATTAATGATAAGGGATTTTTATTTTTATGTATTTATTGATCAAATAGCTACATTTTAAGTTTTATAATGTAAAAAATGACCGACAAAACTATTCACATAGGTTGTCTGACGGATTATCTTCTACTTCTTTCTTTCTTCATTCCAGTCTACTTTTTTTTGAGTATGGTAAGACATCAAATGGCTTTTCTCTCCTTAGATGAGGTGAAGAAGAGTGTCAGACTTTTACTAAATAAAAATATCTGTTCCTTTTACTGATCCAGATCGGTATCATGATACCGCGCGCACACAAGCATAACACGCGCATACAAGATTGCGCTTGACCTGCAACCCCGAGCATTTCGATCTACTTGAGATCGAAAAAGTACAACATCCTTTACCATATTTACTTACCCTATATTTAAAAAATGAATTGCTGTTCATTACTCTGGCTGATAATACTATAATTACGTTTCGGATAATTTTGGTCTTTAAATGTTCGTTGAAGTCCAGAGAAGGTTTGAAAGGAACATTGGCTATATTTGAAGTGGTAAGGAGCTTTTCGGGTCACCTAGGTTGAATTATTTTTTAAGAACTCATGTGAGATACACATCTGCGTCCGAAATCAATTCTTTAATTCTGAGTTGTCAATCCTAAAGCTTTGAGTCCTGAGACATTTGATCGAGCATGTTAGATTCAGAAGAATGATGATTGAACATTCGACGTTACATTGCAACAGCACGCTATTAAATTAACTTAACAAGTTAAGAAATTTTCAACAGATTTAAACAAAAATTATATTATTGGATCAAGAAGTTGGGCAATTTTGCTCTAGGTTTTTATGTAACTAGCGTCTATGTAATAAACTTCTGTTAAGACGAGTTTTTGCCAAACATTCGTTGCTCTAAATTAGCCAGAAACACGATTTGGGCTGGTCAGTCACCTTTAGACACGACATGAGGAGTCACGCCCGGTTCCTATAATTGAGAAACGATGCGTTTTAATTACGAATAGTAGTTTTATATACGACTCGTAAGCTAAAACCGTTCCTATAACAAACGTCTCGTCGTGCAACTTACTGACGGTTTGCAACTAACGGATATCGGTAAGCGAATTGTATGGAGATCTATGGTGTCTGTGGTTTTCCTATAAATATTTTAACCGTCAGTAGACGGTCAAGATAACTATTCGTAATGTCATTTGGTCGTAATGCGTATACAACGACGATTCGTTAAATATAGGAACCGGGCATAAGTCGACCTTGATTTAATTGCCAATCATATAACACTCGTGTCAAAATTTAATCAACCAAATCAATTTTGTTTAAATATGGCTTACCAGCTTCTGCACGCGGCTTCACTCGCGTGGTATGTTGATAAAAAGCCTATGTCATATTTCGGAGTATATCCTATGCCTGTGCCAAGTATCATCCAGATCCGTCCAGTCCTTTTGACGTGATTGAGTAACAGGCATATAAAAATCGTAACTTTCACATTTATAATATTAGTAAGAAGTAAGATAAGATGTTAAACTTACCACCAGATATAGTAAAATATAAATGAGAAAAATACTAAACGGTCACCAAGACTAAGACCACATTTTAATGTAAAATATAATCATAATTTTCACATCCTTCTACAAATTAATTATTGATGTGACACGGTCGCAGTTCTAACATAACCTAACTTATCTAAGTAGGGGTGCTCCAAAAGTAGTTTTTACACGGACTAATGTAATAAGCAATGGAAAAGTAATAAATAAGCTTACATATTATATTTTATATACATAATTATATAATTTACACATTAATTACCTCACTAAGATTTGGTGATAACTTACTACTTTAAATGTTCGAATACAATTTGAAAGTGCGAATTAGGCGTATCAAAGCAATTTTTTTATTTTTTTTATATTTAAATCCTTTAAATATATACGAGTAGATCCAGACACAGGGCTCTATGAAGACTTAGTTCAGTAGAAAATCTGTAACGTTATTGTAATAAAGATTTTGTTAGACTGACAGACATTATTCCTATTGTAGACATCTACTGCACTGTTTTTTGAATTAGATTAACATGTTATTTCTTTGAGAACAATACTGTTTTTTATCAAACCGACGTACGTGTGGGTACTACCTATGTAGTTAGTATAAATAATAAAGGAACACTTAAGTATAAAAGACCCGAACCACTGCATGTGAGCATTATTCGTCCACAACTCTTTAATTCTTAAATAGGGTAAGTCGCTGCATACTGATTTTAAAATTAATATTTTATTTCTACACATTTTCGGTACGTTTCCATCCATACAAATGTTTGTGTATATCTGTATCGCTATTTAAATAAAATCATTACCGTAACGTAATTATAAGCGCATTCCTCTTGTTTTTATTATTATTTTGTTTTTAATTTTGTTGCTCGTTAGTTGAAGGTGTTTTTTTTTTATTTCAAAAAATTATTGAGCAAAACATGTATAAAAAGTCCTCATATTTAAAAAGTTGTTATAGTGTGAACGAAGGAGGATTTATTCCGTGACTTATTTTAATTTATTTTGTAAAAGAAAAAATCAGTGCTGTCATAAATATCTCGAAGCTACGTCCATCTTGTCCTGTTATATTAGACAACGTTGTGCGATAATTACAAAAAAATATAAATAGCAAATATAATTTGCAGAATATTAAGGAAACCTTACACAATGAAGTGCATCTACGTGTTGTCTGTTCTGCTGGCTTTTGCTGCTGTCCAAGCTGAGGACAAGTACAGCACGGAAAATGACGACCTGGACATTGAAGCTGTGGTAGCTGATCTTGATACCCTCAAAGGATTTGTAGGGTGCTTCATGGATGCAATGACCTGCCACGCTGTTGCTGCCGATTTCAAAAGTACGTATAAAAATAATTATGTTTTGTTCTTTTTTTTTTGTATCTAGCAACTAGCTTTTGTCCGTGACTTCGTTCGCGTGGTAAATTGACTTCCTGCAGATTTTTGGTTTAAAAACTATTTATATTCTTTCTCGAGTCTTGTTAGGCGTGAAGAAAAGGCAGAGAGACAGACTTACTTTCGCATTTATAATATTTGTTTGGGTGGCCCGCTAATTTTGACCGCTATCGCGCCTGATGATGCGACTTGTGATAGAGTCGGCCTACCTATAAGCAACCTATTCACTCGGTTCACGAAGGAACCCAGGTTTTACTCTTCGGGGAACACGACCTTCGACGAAAAAGTTCCACTGCTTAGCGGTTTTGATAATAAAACTGGGTGCGAACCGCTTTGTTTAGTTTAGATTTTTTGAATCCATTTTTAATTAGAATAATATGTTGTAAACTTTTTTGCAGCTGTTGACATTTCGATAGCTCTTCTGTCGAATGTATTTTAGTATTTTATTTTTTGTTCCTTATTTTGTTTAATTTTCTTCTTTAGCATTTTATTTTTTGTTATTTTTTTTTAATTTGTATAGGTAGTTTGTTATTTAAATTAAAATGGAGAAACAGTAAGTAAACACACATTTAAATACCTAACTTACAAACTTAGAAATTGACAATTAATTGTGTTCCATACAGCAGAAGTGTGATCTCTTTTAAGTTTTACTTTTCGTCTATGGATTTACTTATTATAAAAGGTTTTCGATTCTTAACCTTCTTCGGTCCACTGATCGGTTATGACTCTTAAAAATATCGGTTGAATAATAATGAGCATTGTTCTTCTTTTTGTTGTTCTCTCATCAATCATTCTTTTTTAACGAAGAATTATATAGTTCTATCAAGTTTAAATGTCTTCATACTATTCAGTACATTACAATACTAGCTTTTACCCGCGGGTTTACCCATGTACACGTTGATAAAAAGCAGCCTGTTTGTACCAAATTTCATCCAAATCGGCCCAGTCATTTTGCGTGGAAGAATAAGAAACATACTTCCATACATTCTTACCAACATTTACATTTATAATATAAGTGGGATAAAAGGATTATAAGAGCCCAAGTAGATGCAGCTAATTATATACATGATAATCTTAGTCACTGGCTCACTGCCTCACTGCTTACGACAGGCACCGGTTTAACAACCGGTTGTTCTCGCTATCTCATAATATTGCAGAAAACATTACATGTGCCCCAACTTGAGCCAAATTTTGTAATGCGCAAAAATCTGCATTTTGTTATGATGTATGAAGTAATATATATATACCGGTATTATAATGTCGTATTTTAATGATGTAATATTTTATTTAGTTAATTAAATTCAAATACATAAATTGCTTAATGTGTTTATTGGTGCGGTGGCTGGGCAACCGGCTGCCGTGCAACGTGTCGTGGATTCGAATCCCGCACGGAAGAACTCTTTGCGTAATCTACAAATTTTTGTTCCGGGTCTGGGTGTCATGTGTATGTGACATTGTATGTTTGTAACGGCACCGCAATGGAGAAAGTCTAAGTTTGGGGCAAAGTTTAAAAAAAAAAACTAAATTACATTCAGAGCATATTCTTGCCCTGGGTGGGGCGAGAGGGCGAATCCGACTGATACTGACTAAAAACCATCGCGTCTCTTCACCTGGCCCGGGCTCCAGCCCGGTATCCAGCTCCAGCTGTAGTATTTTTGACAGAACCGCAGCTAGATAGTTGAGAATAAGGTCAAGTTTCAGTTACAATAGGCTCACGCCTATTAAATGGGAGTTATGGAAATAAATATTTTACTTGTGGGTAACAATTTGTGTTAATCTACGCTACACTTCATGGAATAAAGGTTTGATTGCACGGTTGGTGCGGTGGCTGGGCGACTGGCTGCCATGCAACGTGTCGCGGGTCCGATTCAAGCACGGAACAACTCTTTGTGTGTTCCACAAAATGTTGTTCCGAGTTTGTGTGTCATATGTATCTTTGTAACCGCACCCACGACACAGGAAAAAATCCTAGTGTAGGGCAACTTTTTTTAAAAACAAAAGTGTGCTACTTTAAGTCGTGTTACATCTTTGGCTACAATGTTGCTTAGCTTATCACGGCAAGCTAGCGCCAATAAAAATAACGACTTTGTGATGCATTTTTTATTTTGCAGCATTATTAATTATCAATAATAGGTAATTATTTTTATACTGATAAATAATTCATTGAACTTTAAATTGTTTCTTTGTTGCATTAATACCGCAGCTGATACGACAAGTTAAAAAAGCTGTGATTAATTGTATTTATATTAACGCAAGGTTATTTTATAGTTTTGTTTTTATCATTTTTATTTTTGTTTTTGCTGCTGCCCGTGACACACATTATATCACAGTTGTTAATAAATAATATCTGTTATACCTGTGATATCTTCATCACACATGAACGGCCAAAATGATTTCAAAATTTGTTTTCATGCTTTATGTTATTTAGATAGGCTTCTTAAAAAGAAAAAAATTGGAAAGGAAATAACAATATCTTATTGCAACCTTTTTGGCTTTTTGCAATCTTTTTGGTGCCGTAGCGATTATCTTGCGCCCTGGGGTAAGATCTTGTGACTTAGATTCATACATTACTAGCGTTCGCCCTCGGCTCCACCCGCGTGGATGTCGATATTAGACATTTACAAGTTTTTTTGTAATTTAATGTTCTCTACGTTCAAACCTTTTCTGGACTTACCAACATTTGCCAAATCGCTATAATATTACAACGAATAGTGACATTGATTTTTGTATATATAGATACTTTTCATAACTTTATTATTATATCCTGTTGGGCAAGCCTATGAGCGAATCCTGTTTATAGATCCAGATTGTTTATATGTATAAATAACACAAAAAAGGCCAGCAATACATTATTTGTAAACTTTTGAAATGTCCATGGGCGGCGTATATAGTTCTCTATCAGGTACTTAATCCAACAAATGATCGACTGATCAATCCCACTAAAAAATTACAATGGGTTACTATTCTAAATTTTATTCATAGGGACATTCACCTTAACATTGTTTGTTTTTTTTTGTATTATCAAGGAAATAATAAGCGATTACGTTAACTGATAATCCTTTCATATAGACAACTTGAATCAAGCAATTAGTTGTTTTGTCCCTACTACAAAAGGTTGAAAATGCATTTAGCATTGAACCAATCTTCACAAACTGTCGCATTTACAATACTGCAATAATTAAATTTCTACTAAATGGCACGGCCTCATCATATTCCACAGAATCAATGTGCTGTTCGAGGTTGTTTACAAATAATTCACTGCAATAACCCTCCTTATTGTGGTTATCCTTAAAGTTCAAATCAGTTTGAACGCGCGTGTCTATTATTTTAAGATAATAGGTGCGGCGAATAAAAACTTCGTGAGAAAAGGTTAGAACTCACAATGGAAACGTTATTAGTTGGTTTATCGATTTTATGTAAGTTCATCATGAATTGTAATAAGTAATACCTTATTACAAGACGCATAACTATTTTTAGAACAAGTTGAACTTTGTAGTTTTATTGAGGTAACTAATTTTATATCCAAATTCTAGCAGTCCGCCCCTGCTTCGGACGTATCTCCAAGTATCTCGCTAACGACAAAAGGGACCCTATTTCCCTACTCCCTACTTTTCAAAAATTTTCTCAATAACAAACATAACTCTGAATCTGACACTGTCTGTCTCGCCCACCAGAGCGGGAAAAGCCTGCTGATAAAATTGATAATTTTATTCCCTCAAAAAAAGAAACATATGATTGATCTAGAGTTGGTGAACCATAATTTATAACGCTAAACTTCTGCCATAGTCTGTAAAAGAATGAACTTTATATTATATGCGATTAAAATGTCAACAACATTTACTTAAAAAATTACTTCTCTATTTTCAGAGGACATTCCTGATGCTGTCGCAACAAGCTGCGCTAAATGCACGAACGCCCAGAAGCATATCTTCCACAAATTCCTTTTGGGACTCAAGGAGAAGCTGCCTTCGGACTATGAAGCCTTTAAAAAGAAGTTTGACCCTCAAGGTCAATACTTCGAAGCCCTTGAAGCAGCCGTAGCCTCTTCTTAAAGACCTTTAACAATGCACCGACAAAATAACTTCTCACATCATTAAAATTAAATACCGCAAAATATTTGACGAGAGCTTAAAAATAAGAGTCCCGGTTAAGCTTGAAACTTGTAGAGCATCGTAATAACAGAGAAACATACTCGATGTTACCTATACTCATGACTTCATGGGTTAGTTCAAAAGGGATCAAAGTGGCCATGTCTGTGCAGTGATTAGAAATGAGATTTGTAAGCTTAATTCTTTTAAAGTCGAATTTGTAAGAATTGCAGTCTTTATGACAAATATGCATTAATTCTAAGCAATGATGTAATTCGCTCATAAGTTTTTGTTGAGAATACATAGAATAAGAATAATCTACTGTCTTTTTTTAACTTGGTAATAACAATGGATAATAGAATAACAAAAACAAAAGATTTTTGGATATGATTTTTTGATTAAAATTCTTTGTGTTATAAGAGTTTTTGTCAACAAAATCAATGACTGACTGACATTTTACTAAAAAATTTTTTTTTTATGTCGTAATCTCGGCAAACTAGCAAACAGATTACCTGATGGTAAGCATACAGAGCGTCGCCCACGGACACCCGCAACGTTGGAGTTACGAGTGCATTGCCGACCTTTTAGGAATTAGGGTTTTGGAGATTTAGGGATCGGGGGAGGGGAAGGATTGGACCTCCGGTAACTTCACTCACACGGCGAAACACAACCGTGTGGTTGTATCACGCCGGGTTTCTGTGAGGCCGTGGTATCACTCCGGTTGAGCCAAACTATTCGTGCCGTAGCATCACATTAAATTTTGGCATTATGTTACTATAATAGTAACAATAGGTATCCCAAAATTTTACGAATCCAATATTACTACTTAAATTATCATTAGTGACAATTTATTTGAACCAACGATTTTTATTTATTGCATAATGCTCAAAAGTATATTACACTTACAAATGTAAGAACGTCAGCGAACTAACATACAAAAATAGTAATACCTAATGTTTTTCAAATTAATATAAATTTTCTTACTTACTTTCGATTGTTCCGAGGAAATGTTCGGTTTAATAACCGCCGCTGACTTTCCCCATCGACCCACGCGAAAAAAATGTCATGCCCATCATACCTATAGATGGCTGGCAGCCGATACGATTCAAATCTTCAAGAAAGGTGCGCTCCTTTTTAAAAGGCCGGCATTGCGCCTGTGACTCCTCTGGTGTTGCTGGTGTTCATGGGCGCCGCTGATGTTGATGATGATGTCTGTCAGATCCTATTCCATAAACTAAAAAGATAAAAAATAGAATAAATGAAAGCACACCACCAAAGAACTTAACTGATAAAAGGTTTGGAACAGAGTCTCAATAATGGTCATTGAGACATTCTAAATTATTATGTTTTCGGCTTACTCACGTAATAATGTATGCAGCAGCGCGACGGTCGCCGAGTCGCGTGTCGCGGAATGCTGCTCATGAATATGGGCCTCTAGCATGGCTTGAAACTAGTCGAGAGTATCTCGTCAAATTATTACGTGAGTAAGCTGAAAACATAATAAATGGTCATTGAATCACAAGAATTGTGATTTACTGAATATGTAGAAGAGTGTAAAGTTGTTTTTATGAGTTTCTTTGAGATAACATAGGTACCTATGAATGTAATGATCAGTTCTTACAACCCACCCTGTTATACCACAAAAATGAACTCAAGAAACACGTTTAAAAACGCAATCAAAAGTTGAAAGACTGAAGAAGATTGGTGTTTACTAGCATCATCGTGCCTTTGATAATTGTTTTATTTGAGAACTCTATGGTTAGTATTCTTCGAAACAAAATAAACTATAATCAAGGTGGTCGATAAAAAAATAAAGTACCTATAAATGTTAGATTTAAAACGTGAACACGTCTTGAGTTTAGTAACAGCGTCGATCGTAAGATTGCTTGGGTATTTCCATCTTAAATTTTCAAAGATTAAGTTTATAGTCATTCTATTTACTTTATATCTATTAATAGAATAACAAACTGTCTCTCTAACAGTACTGTATTCTGACAAATAAATCTATCTTTATCTTTATCTTTATCTTTAACAGTGCATTAAGACTCCATATCATTATTTACCTTACATAATTACTCGCTAGAATTGGAATTTATATAAAGTTTTTAGTATCCCTAATGACTTAAGAAAATCATCAATCTTATTCCGAAATAATAATTACAAAAAGATTATTGCATTGTTAATATCATAAAGTTGAATTACTTATAGGAAACTCCATTAGGTACATCTTATAGAACAAAGAACTACTATAAACCTCATATGAAATAAGTAATTATTACCGCAAATTCATTATTACGAAGGTAGTTCCGAATATTTAATAAAGCACTCAAGTTTTTGTGATTATCATCCTTCCTTATAAATATTGTGTTTTGTTGAAGGTCAGGCTTTGAGAGGGTATTAAATACAAGCATTTGTGATGTGCTCGCCATTTGAATCAGAGCTTACAGCAATTTCGTAATCCGTTCAAAAATAGTAGAGGAGTCGCAGTAATGATCGGTCTAAATAAATACAACGTGCCGGTATCGATTATTTTAATATTTCTATTTGTTTCAACTGTTCTTTCACAAGAGAAATTTTATGATAGAAGATACGATTACTACGAAATTGATACGTTGATACAGAATCCTAGATTGTTGAAGAAATATTTGGATTGTTTTCTCGGCAAAGGACCCTGCACGCCCATAGGAAGAGTGTTCAGACGTAAGTACTAACGATTTATTCTCACATATTTTGCTAAGTCATGCTACAAGTAATTCTGCAATATTATTATATATTCTGTTTTCTATTATACATTTTAATTAGATTTTGTGTTTTTTAAATAAATTGTTTTAAGTATTTGATTAAAATTATTATATTGTTTTCATAAATTGTGCACACATTTTTGGTTAAATGTGAGCAACACTTAGTTATACCTATTAATTTTATTACTTTTATAATAATTTCTTAATACAAACTTATATTTTTAAAATTATTTTTTGTGTTTATATATGACAGATTTTTTTTATGTAATTCAGTTCTAATGCATGAATGATAATGTTTGCTTATATTTTTGATATACATATACATATAATAAAAGATAATAATATCTGTCCTAATATTATTCTTTCATCTAACATTTATTTCATGTTACATGGTGTTCAAGTCAAAACTTTTCTTTTTTTATTATACTTACGATATTAAACTAAAAATTTCTTTGAGTAGCTTTTCACACAACTCATCTATTTCATCCTCAGGTCTCTATCATTTAGCTATTTCATCATTCAACAATAATAAGTCAACATATTTGCAAATTGTTTGGTTTTCAACTTTATGACTGTATTACATCATATTCTGTAAGCTTTCGTATATACTTTACAAATATATAGTGCTTTAGTCACATATTGCTATAACATAAGTTATGTAACAATCCTAATATTTTCTTAAAATTATACAAGCTATAGAATAAAATTAAAGCAATTTTTTATTCAAATACGTATGACACTTAATCAAATTCGTAAACTGGACGCTATCCAGACGGTTCTCTATTACTTTTCATTAATTAGTATATAGAACAGTAAACGGTAAGCCAGGGTGAGTAGAGTTCGAGAAGTAAACAAATATTTATTTTAACGAGCAGACGGATTATCTGATGTTTAGTAATCACCGCTGCCCAGGGACACGTGCAACAACGGAGGAGCTACGAGTGCGTTGCCGATCTTTAAGATAGGATATTAGGGATTTTGAGATTTTAGAATTGGAGAGGGACATATCCTTCGAATTTTATTTATTACCTAAAACGGTTTTCCAACCAATCAAGGCGTGAACAAATACCCCTCTTGTGGGTAAAAAATGCTTATAATCCAGGGTACCACCTATCTACATACTAAAATCCACAAAATCGGTCCATCCGTTTTTGCGTGAAAGAATGACCAAGTTTCTTTTATACATTTCCATCTATAGGTTGCTGGAAGAAATCGCCTTGTGTGATAAAACCACCCTTGGTAATCACAACAGTCTTTCATAGTATCCAATGTATTGCTACTTAGTGTAGGTAAGTGTGCAATAAAGTATATATAAATAAATAAAAAAAATACAAACTTACATTCTCACAACATTGAGTTTTGTAGAGATTGGGATCCACGCCATTTTCCATTTTCAAACACAATTTAACAATTATTATATTTATTCTTTATGTAACATATAAATTGCGTAGGCGGAGAATTACATAGAATTAATGTCATATATACGGTTGACACCTTAGAATGATGTCGATTAACATAATATACATTTACAAAGGTCCTTTGTCGACACAACTAGAGGTACTCAAAGGTACTCTAAAGTCACTCAAGTAGACGCTAAGGTATATTCAAAGTATATTATTATGATGTACTCAATAATTGTAACTAAAGAAATAAACGGGTAAACCCAAACTCTACTACTGTTCACTTATACATAATGTACTTAGCTGCTTGTCAAGTATCGGGTTAAACCGCAAAAGTTCGCCGGCTAAGTAGTGTTGGTCAATATTTATCTTGATGTTAGTAGCTGGTGGTTTTGTTTATTTTTTAAGTTATGTAAGAAGCTTCTGGAATTAATATATTCTATCTCATGACTTGGTAAGAGTGAGTTTTGTTGTATTGTCTATGATTAGTAATACTAATCAGTGTCGCACTATAATTGTCTGTGTCGTCATATCTCTATTATTCTCTTCTTGTCTTTGTCGTCATATTTAGTTGTCCAACTTTTTTTTTGTCTATATTTTCCATGTGCAACAATAAACAATTAAATACATTTCATCTATGTTATGTATGTAGTATGTTTGTTACTTCATCACGCCAAAACGACTAGATGGATCTAGATGAAATTTGGCACAGGCCTGGATACACTCTGGAATAGGACATAGGCTACTTTTTATCAACATACCACGCGAGCGAAGCCATGTATTTTTGATTGGCATAAAAACGAATGAAGTACTCCCAATACATCAATAAGCTAAACCAAACAAAATACTATGATTTTATAAAAGTTTAACAAAAACCTACATATTATTATTATTATTAAATCTGAATTGAATCTTAAAACAACAAGAAAAGTCTCAGATTAAACCAATAACAAATATTTTATATATACCATATTTTTACAGAAATTCTGCCTGAAGCGGTACAGACAGCGTGCAAGAAGTGTACACCATCGCAGCGTAGGCTTGCAAGAAAAACGTTCAACGCCTTCAAAGGATATTTCCCAGAGACCCACGAGGAACTGCGGAAGAAACTTGACCCCAAAAACAAGTACTATGAAGCTTTCGAGAAGGCTATATCGAGCGCTTGAACAAATCCACTGCCCACTTAGCGTTTTACCAAGTAAGTAAGCATAAGTATACATAAGTGAGCATAATTGAGTATAAGTGAAGCGTAAATAAGTGAAGTGGGACATATTTATGTTTTAAAAAATACGGATGCAATCGTTTTTATTAAGATTCGGTTACATCCGTGGTTTAGTTTCCGTGTTAGACTATTATTTTAAAGGGCAATTATGATAATAAAAAAAATATTAACATTATAATTACACGCATATACGTGTGCCGTGGTTAGTTATGGTAGGTTAAGGTGGTAATTATCATGGATAGATGAACTCCATATATAGACTTCCTTTCGAATACAAATATAAAAAAATATTATAAATAATCTGGTTAGTACCAATGTGATTTTTTTCCAAGTTATTGTATACTTCTTAAGATTATTTAGAAACATCCTACACAACAGTTCGAAATCTCATGTGCAGAAGTAAGTTTAATTCCGTAAACTAGACGCAAATCTAGACGGTTATCTACATTATATATAATGTAGAGAACCGTCCCGTCACTACCATCAACGATTGCATCACTGCTTACCATCAGGTGGGATCGCAGCCAAGCACTAGTTAACTGCAAGTAAAAAAAACCTGGAAACATAAACAAAACTTTTGCCCCTACTATATTAAAATTTATTTATCTGGCAACTTCCGCGTAGTTCCACCCTCTGTTCGGCTCTTATCACTCGTAGCGTAGTGTTTTATAGCCTTCCACGATAAAAAATCTATCCAACAAGGCTGAAGACGTAAGTATGTATATATATAGGTATGTAAATTAGATGTTTTAAATTAAGTATATTTAAGTTCTCTATAGATACAGAATTTTATTTTGTTGTATTACATAGGACTCATAGCTTATGTAGCTGAAAGTGGATGCGTCAACACTTAAGAACCATTTTTTTGTGATGGCTAAATCATCAAATGACATCTCCCGCCCAAAGTAGGGCAGGAGCCTGGCAGGCCAGGAACCCTGGCTCTTACCCCGCAACCCCGGCTTTTAGGTACCGTATCATAATATATTAGGAATATGTAATAATGTAGTGTGTTTATTCCTTTATCCATATTCTGACAAAGATTGTAATTCGAATCGGCTATTAAATAAAAAAAAAAACATCGATACCATACCCAAAAAATAAATCGTTCATTCGTTCCTATTATTTCGATTGCAAGGTAAACGAGTGAATAAAAAAATGTGTGTAATCGATTTAATAATACTCGATTGGTCAAAATTGAGGACTGCATTTATCGATTGCGCATGTTTTCAGGTTTCGTGTTTAATAATACGATGCAGGTGCGTTTATATGACTCAAGAATAATATAATAGGTATCGGATATCGTAGTCATGTTACACCATTCATGTTCATGATTACATCGTAATGATGTTATGTTACGTTTTATTATAACGTTTCTCCTGTTTCCTACTGTGAGACTCAAGTACGAGTAAGAGCCATGCTTCGACCCGAATACGCTCTACAGAACAACGGCGTATACGAGTACAAACGCTCGCGTTGTGTTTCGCCATGTGAGTAGGGTTACCGGAGGGCGAATATCCTTCCATGATTCCCTCATGGATCCCTCATTTTCAAATATCTAACCTCTGAAAGATCGGCAAAGAACTCGTTATTCTTATGATGTTGCGCGTATCAATGCGAGGGCCGATTGTTGACCATCTGATGACGCGTAATCTCGTGTGTGGCATTATCAAATAAAAAAGATATCATTCACTTTTCATTATATTGATTCGATGTTGTTTACTACTAAGAACTTTAGTCACTTAAACCTTGCATAATTCAGAATTTTATGTTACAGATGGCTTTACGAAAACAATTAGATACATATATTTTTATATTGAGCACTAACACAATAAACACATAATATCACTTAATTTTTTCCGCTCTTACACCTCAACTAAACAGAAATAACTTTCTACAGCCGCTTTTATCCAATCTATCTTTGCGTCCAAATTTATTACAATCGTTCCAGCGGTTTTCGTGTTAAAGTAACAAAACACGCAATATCACTTTTAATGACACGCACTAGTATGAACATAACATCATGCCAGCTCAAACGGCAGGCACAGTTTAATTCTAGCTTGAGTTAGTCATAACATTTGCACTGTGCAATCTCTAGCAAGATATTGCTATATACAGTATATCTACACCGCACCACAAACTGTTTCGAAATTATAAAACCCAATTTCAAAAGTTTTTACTTAGTAACGATTAGGTGTTGTTGAAATGAATATTAGTAAGCGGTAAGCAGATACAACTGCGTTACTTTTATGTGGCTGGACCTGAGTGTTGGGGATTTGAAAATGGAACTGCGGTATTGGATTGCACCGTCCATTCCTTTCTGGATTGGGCGGGCCTGAGCAAAGGTCTATTTTCACATGAATAAGGTTTGAGCATAGATCACCACACTTCCTTGAAGCGGATTGTTGATAACAAACTTAAATTAGAAATTCTAAGTCCAGGTCTTCTCGTCATCAGGCGGAGTTGCGGCCTTGGCCCTGGCCTAGACCAGCACATATGACTGCATTCTGAAAGACTGTAGTATTACTTTTTGCCGGCCCACTCGTGCCAAAGCATGTATGTCCCACACTCCCATCTCCTTCACCGAATTTAGTATAGATATAGTATATAAGAAAAGTGCTAAGTAACAATGTGCCTTGGGTAAATACAGATTAGTGTAATTGACGTTTCATAAAAAAAAATGTTGGTGCAGATTAAATGAACTTTAACCAGTTCTCAAACGGGCAATATAGAGAACAGATAATCAAAATATATTTTATTAAATTATGTTTTTGAAGCAAAATTCTGTTCAAGGAAATCAATGACGTTGTAATTTCTGGAAACTTTGTAGACCTACCTTGGTAAGTTAAATGTTTCCGTAAAGCGATTCGACAATGTAAACAGTGTCGTTTTAACATTTGCTTTATATACAACGAAGGCAGTCTAGACGTGTACTTCCAAGTCATTTGGACTTTTTCGGTTGGTGCGGTGGCTAAGAAAATGGCTGCCGCGCATGTTGCGCGGCAGCCATTTTCTTAGCCATCGTGGGTTTCCGCACGAAACAACTTTTTATGTTATCCACAAATTGTTGTTCCGGATCTGGGTGTGATGTGTATGTGAAATTTCATGTTTGTAAACGCATCCACGTCACATGTGAAATAACCACAGCGTTGTATTTCACCGTGTGAGTGAGGCCCAATCCTCATCCCTTTCCAATCCTTAAATATCCGAAACGCTTCTCCCTAAAAGGCCGGCAACGCACTCGTTACTCCTTTGGTGTTGTGGGCGGCGCTGATTGCCTACCATCAGGTAATCTGTCTGCTCGTTTGCTAACCTATATCGTAAAAAAACCACAAAACTAAGTGCATTTCAAGTTAAATAATAATTCCAAATGACATAATTACAATTACACAAAGTTGCAAACCTAATAATAATAATTGAGGCGATTATAAATAAATAATAGATATATAATAATATCATTTTACAACGTTAATTTATGTAATAGTATGCATTAGCTAATGGTAATTAATTTCGTTGATTTATTTGAGATGGCGATTTAGTTTTTTTTTTTGTTTTTTTTAGTCTGTCGTTGGATTATTTTTAGATTTATATTATTATTGATTTAACACATTAAATACCTACGCAGTTTTTCTTCTTTTATGCTTTTTTTTCGATACTATAATTTGAAACATCGCCTGACGATACTATCAGAGTGCATTTTAAGGTATTTTACGGCTACAAGCTCCCTCCCTCTTTTCCCTCAACTTTACAGTAGTTTTTCTTTTTTTATTACGATAGAGACGAATTTGTTTAGCGTGGCATGACAAGACACGGTTAAATACGTAAAGGTTGTCTCGAACTGCAGTAAACTTTATATAAAACAATAGATAGAATTCTAGTAAGGCGCAACAGGGAAGCCATAGTAATAAATTATATTAGAAGTTTTATTAGAAAAAATAAAAAAAACACACGTTTTCCATGCTTCGGCACGAATGGGTCGGCTCGACTGGAATGATACAACGGTCTCACAGAAAAACGCAGCTTTGTTGTATTTCGCCGTGTGAGTGAGGTTACCGGAGACCCAATCCTTCCCCTCCCCCAGTCCCTAAATCTCCAAATCCCTTATCCCCAAAAGTTCGGCAACGCACTCGTAAACCCTCTGTTCTTGCGTACGTCAGCTCGTTTGCCGAACTATCACATAAAAAACATGTTTCATGTTTTTTAATTATCTAATAATTGACGAACTAATTTAAATCGTTATTTTTTTTTTGTTTTCATACCTTGTCAGATTCTCTATTTGTACGGGTAATACTAAGAATCGAATTTGAACCAAAGAACTTCTAAGAAACAAAATCTGTTTACCATCAGTTACTGTCCATGACATCATAATTTAGTACGTACATATATGAACATGTTGTTTAATCATACGTAGATATGTTGCTTGCGTTAACTTGCGTCGTACTACGACTTCAAGTGCCGGGGTTGCGGGGTAAGCGCAATGAGGCACCGCGACCTCGGCATAGAGCAGGAGAAGGAACAGGGGGGTTTTTAGTCAGTAAGAGTCTGACACTCCCTCCTGCCCAGCCCTGGGCGGGAGAAGTCATTTGATGATCTTCCCCTCACAAAAAAAAAAAAAAAACTACGACTTTAAGTGTATTTGAGTCATATTGTCAAATTCAATAATTATGTATTTCTAACACAACAGATATAACGATAATGCCTCCTCCTTTTTTATGTATTTGTACCCTTTTTTGTAGGGGGGGAAATTATCAAAATGACTTCTCTCGCCCAGGGAGAGGCGACAGGGAGAGTCGGACTCTTTCTGACTTAAATGCCTTGTTCCTTCACCTGATCCAGATTGCTTTTCCGCAATCCCAGCTGATGTATTTGGAATATAACAATTCAAAAAGTACTGGATGCATGTTTGTTACTCTTTCATGTAAAAACTACTGAACGGACCTGAATGAAATTTCGCATAGAGATCGATTATAATGTCATAGGAAGTATACACACATAAGCTACTTTTGGCACTACAAGCAAAGACGTAAGCAGATTTTATAGTGTATTATAATTTACTAAGATATTTTATGGATTGGCTGAAATGGGATATTGTTTATCTGATACATAATAAATTTAATTTTTTTAAATACAAATATTTGAGGAATACTTGATAAAAGTCTAATTTTCTCGAACAATTTTAAGTTACTTTCGTATTAATCTTCAGCTCGTCAGTCAACCAGAAATATGTATTATGGCAAATCTCTCATATCCTTAGTTCAGATGTATATATGTATACTATCATGAGCTGTTGGAGATGATTGCAACGATGATATTTTTAATGACTTAGAACTCCTTAGAAGAAAACAAAGAAAAAAATAAAATAAAATTTACTATGACAAACGTCTCATAAGACACATAAAAATGACAAACGATTTCTTTGTGTGTAAGTATGATCATGAGTCAACAAAAGCTATTCAATTGTTGATTGATTGAATCAGCAATTATTATCCCGTTTTATGGTAAGGTTTATGGCACCTACTTACGGTGCAAAGAAAACATGTGAATTCGTATGAATTTAATCACAAATTTGTTCGACTAATTGGAATTGATCTTTCTTATTGCTTGTAGTTAGTAGTAGTAGTAGTAGTAGTAGGACTTCATTATCTTATAATGAATATAAGTAGGTTGAATGTTATCATTAAATCGACAGAAATATAATTTCCATTTATATACTTGAAGACCTTACCAATAAAACAAAAAAAAAACAGGTACCGAAATGAGGCGCTACCCTTGCGATCGACCTAGAAATCATTTTATATTTTTTTTGCATAGGAAATAACACCAGTGTGTCAGCACAAAAAAAATGTATGTTTTGGAAGCCTTGCACTTTAATTTTAACGTTAATTTTCCTTATTTTTTTAAGCAGCAAAATTGTTATTGCTTAATTTTCCCGGTAACGTAGCAATCTATAATATGTTTTGTTTATAGCAACAAGTGGCGGCCCATTAACATTTCACTACAATGCAGGGAGGGTTTTACCAAAACCGTTCGGCTAATTAATTAAGTGCCCTATTCATTTCGTTAAAAGGTTCAAATTGGTTTGTTTTGACTGCGCAAGCGTTGACCCATGTGCCAATGAAGGTAGTGGGTATACCGTCGTCAATATAAACCACTGTCGCTTTCTGCCACCGCTAGTTCTTTAGGTCGATTGTAGAAGGTAAAAGGTGGGTGAATGAACTTCTTGTTAATCAGTGACGATATATTTTGTGAATTGTGATTTGGAAGTTGTGAACGAATAGTGTTTTAAACTATAGACTATACCAAAGTACTATTTAACTATATTATCATAAAAATACTTCGTTTCTTGTGTCAAGCCAAAATCAATTCAAAAACTAATTCATATGCAACAAAGATTCGATTTTAATGTCTAAGATTTATGCTTCTAATTCGTGGGACATGTAACTAATACGTAGTCCAAACACGTCCTGTGTTTGTACAATGTCCATGGAAACAGCTCATTGAATAGGTTCCATCGCTTAACATTCGGGACGGATCACATTCTTTGTTCCATTGTGATCGTACGAAGTTGATTAATTGGGAGAGAGGAATAAAATTCAATTATTATTTACAGAAATCAACTGTCAAAATGAGGGTGCTCGTTGTTTTGTCTTGCTTGGTCGTGGTGGCGTTTGCTGCTGATAAATACAACCCTAAATACGATAACTTTGACGTGGACACCCTGATCTCCAACGACAGACTGCTGAAGGCTTACATCAACTGCTTCTTGGAAAAAGGACGTTGCACGCCCGAAGGATCGGATTTTAAAAGTGAGTATTTTTGCTACGTTCTCTATTGAGTGTAATTGTTTTTATGACCTAATTTCTAGTGACGCAAATTTGTTAGAATTATGTTCATAAAGTGCAGTCAATATTTTTTGCAATACTAATGCAGTGATTTTGACACCGTGTACAGTAGTGTTGTGGCATAAAATACATATTTACGTAACGCCGGATTAACTCAGTGCTCCACTCCAACTGTTTGCACAAACCGGGTCGAGGTCAAGGTTTTTAAGCAGGAAAATATCCTCAGGCAATGTTCAAAGTACGTCTATGTGGATTCGTGCTAAATTCGTTGAATCCTTGATGCGTTTTCCTTTTATAGAACAGGCTTCATAGTTACCATTACCACTGGGTTATATTTGGGACTCTAGCTAGGTAGGTAGGTCTAGAAAAATTGGACAGACCATCATTTATTTATTTAGATGTTCCAGTGATCCAAAATGGATTTTATAAAATAACCTATCCACTAATTTTCAATAAAATTTTCCAGAGGCCCTCCCTGAAGCGATAGAGACCACTTGCGCCAAGTGCACAGACAAGCAGAAGGGTAACATCAGGAAAGTGATCAAGGCCATCCAGCAGAAACACCCCAAGGAGTGGGAAGACCTTGTCAAGAAGAACGACCCCAGTGGCAAACACCGCGGTAACTTCGACAAATTCATCCAAGGAAGCAGCTAATAATGTTCACCATGTTCCAACTCTATTTAGATTTAAGAAGTAGGTCCTGTAATAGGTAAAATACAAAACAATTTGCTTGAATCGCAGTTCGACTGATCCCACTACAGCTCTCTATAATGCTGTACCTTACAATCTCACCCCCATAGGATTTATCCCGTATCTCCCATCATTCCGCTCCCCGGGATCCAAATCCTAGTGATTTAATTTATATGTAGGCTTTTAGATTTTAATCGGATGACAAATTGTTGTGTTATTTATTGAAATATCACGATGTTGACTGATATTGTAATAAAATATGATTTTAATATAGTTTCGTTTTTTTATTTTATTACTCTTAATGTGTGTTTACAAGGCATTCAAGGTTTATACAAGAAGGTCTCATAAAATGTGACTTGTCATCAATATGTTGAACTTGAACTCTTTTACAAAAACATGGCCATTAAAGATCCAATAAGTCAAAGTTGTGCATAATGGCATTGTTTGCACAATTAGATCATTAGTAATTAATGATGAAATTGTTTAAAGAAGGTGAGGTTAAACAGGTTGCATGTGGGTTTTTATGTCAAGCAGGGCCGTCGGAGCGGCGATGCGGCTGTGTGCTTGCGACTAGTTGCGCCAGAGAGCCCACATAGCTACCGCTGCAGTCTGATGTAACTTCATAGATTGTGTAAGCCCGTCACATAATCTTCGACACAACGCAATCGTTCCGCATCATGGCACGATTTTCACGTCACTAGCACTCCATGGGACCCTTTACTAGTTTTTGTTGGTGTTCTATTTTGTTTTCGAAACCTTTTGGCTTACCTTTTCTTCATTGCTACACGCAAAAAACATCTAATATTAAGGTGAAATGTTGCGTCGATTTCTTGAGATTACAACAATTTCACGTTCATTTCATATTCTACCCATTATTTGGATCATTTTTTTCTTTAAGACCATAGCTGGGACTCCACGGGTTCTCGAGATATTGAAGGTCAAAGATGCATATTTATTTTTGTTTTTATTCCGCGATCGAATTCTATGTATTATTACAAAACTTTTTTCGAAACAAACATTTCCTGAATTTTCGATTTATCTAAATAAATTACGCATTTGAAGTTACGAACAGTAATGTACGTAATAAATAAATGCAGACCCACACAAAAACATCGTGCATCTCAGTAGGATTTTTATTTTACAGAATTGTTTTATTGTTGCGAAGTAAAACATCGACCTACGTACTTATTACAGCGTTTTAATGCTAAGCTGTGAACCTACGCACACAATGACATTAAGCCCGTTGCTTTACATTGCGCGCAATAAAATTATTATATTTTTTGATACCTAAAAATAAAAGTCGTTTCCCAGTGATAATTTTAGCGTAAAGCTACTTAGTTAGAACTGCAGTATGCGTAGTTAACGGCTTCGTTAAGTGTCTTTTTACACCCTGTAGGTATGTATTGACGTCAAACAAAGATTGTTGTTAGTGATGGACGTTAGTGGAGTATTATTATCTGGTTTAGTTGTCCAGTTATATAGACAAGGTATAATGCAACAAGTCAAAGGTCTGCGTGACACAGTGATTAGCCAATCAATAGGAGATAATCGAACTGTTTTTTTCTGGGTCCTTCGCTGTTTGACACCATGAATTTTTGACACCACGGTGTCAATCGCAGAAGAACGTTTTTTGAATTGGCTGTTTGGGACCACGGTGTCAATCGACGAATACCTTATTTGGCTTCGTTGATTGACACCATGATGTAAAACAGCAAAGGACGGCCCATTGGCATTTTTATTTTTTAGTAAAAAGGTAATTTACCTTTTCTATCTGTGATTTTTTATTGTTTAGTAGAACTTTTTATATATAAGATAAGATGATTAAGTATGTGATTTTTAGTACTTAGTTATTAGTAAAAAAAATAATTTACCTTTTCTATCTGTGATTTTTTATTGTTTATTAGAACTTTTTATGTATATTATGTGATTTTTAGTAGTTAGTTTTTAGTAAAAAGGTAACTTACCTTTTCTATCTATGATTTTTTATTGTTGAGTAGAACTTTTTATATTTAAGGCAAGATGATTATGTGATTTTTAGTACTTAGTTATTAGTAAAAAGATTATTTATCTTTTCTATCTGTGATTTTTTATTGTTTATTAGAACTTTTTATGTATATTATGTGATTTTTAGTAGTTAGTTTTTAGTAAAAAGGTAATTTACCTTTTCTATCTGTGTTTTTTTGTTGTTTGTTAGAACTTTTTATTCATATACAAGATTTATTCATACAAGATTCCATTAAAAATTTGATTGTAATTTTTGTTTTAATAACCGTTTTCTTTTCGCCAGTACACAAATCACAGTTGACCTTTAAATTGTTGAAAGTGGTCCAAATCAACAGTTTTATACCATGGTGTCAATCGACGACAACAAAATAAGATATTCGCCGTTTGACACCACGGTCGCAAATTATTATGGAAATGGTCCTAAACAGCCAATTCAAAAAACGTTCTTCTGCGATTGACACCGTGGTGTCAAAAATTCATGGTGTCAAACAGCGAAGTACCCGTTTTATAATAGCCTTATTATTCTAAGTCAATCGTGTTTTTATGTAACTGTAAATAACGATGATCAACTTATGTTTTTATTTAGTTTATGGAAATTTCTTTCTAGGACATTGAATTTGTCAGCCTGCTAATCTACTTATATGTGTACGTATAAATCCATGCCACTTTTCGTTTTTAATGTTATAACTCAACACTGACTAATTTTGGTTGAATTATTCGTGGAAATCCAGAGAAAGTTTGTACGAAAAAGTGTAAAATCAATATACAAGCGGACGGGGCAGCGGGCGACCATTAGAACTTTATGTTTATGCGGTTATCAAAATAGATTTTAGCAATAAGCTCATTGATTTATCAATTATTCAGGTTAGGAACTGAATACTACTGGAAATCATTGTATTAAAATTAACCATAGGTTCGTAACACCTCTATATCTAATTTAAAGAAAAAAAAGAAAATTCATTTGTTTTAATTTGCTTCTTATTTATTGTAATGCTCCACATAGTTTAAATCAGTTTCATAGTTCCATTCAAGAATAAGCCATAAGTCCAACGTCAATAACGATCATTTTAATCGAAAGTTTTCTTTTAGTCTGTACCGATGACGAAAGCACTGAAGGCTTTTTCGTATTCGCCTTTAGGGTCGAATTTGGTACGGAATTGGGCGAAGTCATCAGGTTTTTTCTCACTAAGAGCCTTGACTGTCTTCCTGACATTTTGTCTCTGTATGGCTGAGCATTTTGCGCAAGCTGTGGATATAACTTCAGGCAGCAATTCTGGAAACAAAAGAAAGGATAAATGAGTTCAGAAATATTTTTGGCAATTGTTTTCTTGCTATGAGTGATTTTGCAGATAAAGATTTTTCTGGTTCCTCTCTCCCACGACCTTTGCTGTCCCCGACAGGGTCCTTAGTGATTCTGCTATATTTTCATTTAAGATCTAATGTACACTACGGAACGCAGTAAAGTATTGACTATTGATTATTTTTCAATGAAACAAAAAAACACGTTTTTCGCCAGATTTCTATGTGGCAGTAGGATTAGGTACTCCGTTACAAATCAGCCTATACATACCAATAAATGGCTCTCTCAGATATTGCAAAAATTTAGAGATATCATTGTTACAAAATAATTATTTCACTTACGTCTGAAATCAGCTGAATGTTCAACAGAGCAGGGTCCTTTATCCAGCATGCAATCGATATAGGCGGTGAAGAGTGCGTCATCACCCAGAATCTTGTCCACATCTAATTTGTCGTATTTTTCGTCATACCCAAAAACAAGAGGAGCGGCTAAAGCGAAGACAGCTATCAGTAGAGCGTTCATTTTGAATTTTTAAGCTAGAAATAAATAGTATAAATATAAGTTTTTAAATGGCTTGGTATTACAATTAAATAGGTCCTGTAAAATTTATTTAAATTAGAGTAAAAATTGTGTTACATTTCATAACGTTCAATGGGGTAGGTAGGTACATATTTTCCAGCAGGCAAAACCCAATCATATTTTCTAAACGAAAACCTTCCTTCCTCTTTTTGTTTTCAGCTGTGAACTTTTAATGATCTGGTATTTGTATTGATATTAAATATCAAAACAAAGTTCAAACTTAATTCTCTTAATAATAGTGCAATATGACATATATTTATTAAAATCGCTCTAAAATTACATTTTTAAATATTACTATAAAATAAAATAATATTTAAAAATATAAAAGTAGGAGCCAGCTGGCAGCGGGAGCAAGGTCCAAGCTGCCGGCGGTTAGGGCTCCAGAGACAAGAACCTCCTCACAATACGTGCCGTTTCAAGGAGGACTGCCTTCTGTATGAGGCCCTTGATCCATCCGCCTAACGTCAGCCTCTTAAGGTGGTTGTCGAGGCTTTTGGGGACTAACCCGTTTGCCGACACAACTATCGGCACAACGATGGCCGAGTCCACATTCCACATGTCAACAACCTCGTGAGCTAAGTCAAGATATTTCAATTGTTTATCTTTCTCAGCTTTCACGAGGTTCTCGTCATGAGGAATGGCAACATCGATTATCGTCGTGCGACGCGCTAGTCGGTCTACCACCACTATGTCAGGCTTATTGGCTACAATAGTCCTGTCTGTGATGATAGACCGATCCCAGTACAATGTGATATGGTCTTTTTCGAGAACTGGGTCGGGCACATACTTGTAGTACGGGACCTCAGACTCAACAAGCCGGTATTTCAAAGCAAGTTGCTGATGGATAATCTTGGCCACCTGATTATGTCTGTGCAAGAATTCGCCATTAGCCAAACGACCACAGCCGGAAATAATATGTCTGATGGATTCACCGGAGCTATGACATGCCCGACATATGTCAACCGTCCTATCCTTCATAATATATTTCCGGTAGTTATTCGTGAGGATAACTTCGTCCATAATTGATAGTAGTGCAATTATTTTTAGTTATAAGATTTGGCGAGTTTAATTTACATACTAGATAAAATAGTCATAATTTAACTTTTTGTCATCATTAATTTTATTTCAGACAGTACGACGTAAATTTAAAATTTATTTTTATTATTTTATTTTGTTTTTTAATTTTAAATTGTCTACTACGTAAATATTCTGCGGCGCTTTGCAAATAGCAAGTTTTTAACCTTTCTCATATAAAATGGTATTTTTAAATTATTAATAATACTAATATTAAGCAGAAGTTAAGAATGGTAGTGGTAGTGTCTACATAGTATGAATCCCCAATGACAGTAAGTCCTTCATAAAATAATGGGTTTTGAATCTTCACAAAAATATGCTGAGTCATTGGATCCACAACTTGTGTCCATTGTAGATTCTACTAATTGTAAGATATATAAGCTATGTTGTATTGTTATATGTTATGTATTATATGTGAATACTTTTACGATTTTAACTAATCAGAAATATAAATTTATTTACTTTTATTAAATTATATTTTAATTGGATGATCATAAACTCTTATAGAGCACTCGTACATAAAATATATTATTTTTAAGTTAAAATCTTACCTATTCGTGTATTCCGATGTCCCAATGGTGATGATGGCTACAACTAACTTCCAACCCATTTTATACCATAAAACTCGGAAATACATAATTATCTTAATTTCCTAAAATATTAAAAAAATGAAATTGTTTAGGCTAATATCATTAAAACATAATTTTGCTACATACAATTTGCGATTTCATGATAGCGTTGGCCTTCAGTAAAAAAATATTTCATGAACTATAGGTACTACCATAAAAAAATACCTAAATAAACACAAAATTCATGTAACAATACTGACGGGTGTATTAAGAAAAATTTAATAATTAATTAAATCATGCCTTAGTAAAGATTTTGTTCCGAAAACCATTTACTTTGTGAGTACACCTGCTCAACAGTATCTTTTGCTCCTGTTCCAGTGGTTAAATCTCAAAATATATTATAGCCCAGCTCACTTCTAAAATTCAATTGGCAAGCCTTAAAGTGTTTTTAGGTCCCGAGCGTACGGCGCATAGCGTTCCGCGCGCGCCTCAAAGAGCCAATAGACCACCACAGACGGGGCCCTATAGGGCTGATGTTCAGCCGGGGTTGCGGGGTAAGCGCAATGAGGCACCGAGACCTCGGCCCAGAGCAGGAGAAGGAACAAGGGGGGCTTTTAGTCAGTAAGAGTCTGACACTACCCCCCCCCCCCCTCCCGGCGCTGGGCGGGAGAAGTCATTTGATGATTTTCCCCTCAAATTTATCTCTATTTTGATGATTAGTATCATAAACTTAGTATACAGCCCCACAGAAAGGTAAAGTAACTGAATATGTGTATCCGAAATCATCTCTCAATAAATTCAGTTCAAAAAATCAAAATCAAAAATGTTTATTTGTCAGAATATGGTACAATACATGTAACAGTTTTGATTCCAGCATATCCTGCCATACTATGGCGTACAAATTTCAACGACATCTCGCTTAGATTTTCTATCATCTTAGACCACACCATGGTGCTGAGCGAGAGGACTCTCTCTGCTTCTGTGAATCAATCCTGTTCACAAAGAAGAAAACAGAGAACGTGATGAAGCTATCCTTCTTGAGCCCTAGCTGCCATAGGAGACACCAAGAATATCGGAGATCTTCGGATACTGTAAGTGTTAGTATGTTGACGGCGAGCAAGGCTATTTTTTTTTTTTTACTTGCTATAAACTAGTGCTTGACTGCGATCCTACCTGATGGTAAGCAGTGATGCAATCGTTGATGGTAAGGCGCACTAGTTTATTAAGAGCCTATTCACTCTAGCCTTGAAGACACCTAAATTATATTTGGACGGAAAGACTGCAGCCGGCAAACTGTTCCAATCCCTCGATGTACGCGGTATAGGCTAGTCAGTAAGAGTCTGCCACTCCTATTCGCCTCGCCCAAATATTGTGATGATAATTTATACTCTAAAAAAAGATGGTAGAAATGGATTGGTTGAAAATTGAGGTCCTTGACGTGCTATTTGATACCGAAATGGGATGATGATGATGAAACATTAACTTTGTGAAGCCATTCACTTTTTTGGCAAATCATAAAGAAGACACAATATGATACCTGGGGAAACTAGGGCAAACCAACAAACAAAATTAACATTTATAACAATAACAGCAGAGATCATTATCAGTAGATGATATCCATGCGATTTATTTATAGAAGACCAGTCATCCGAACTTGATTACTTGGACAATATCAAACACATGATGCTAATAGATTTTGACGGACCCAAGGTTATGTTGTAAGGTCAATGTTTACATAATTCATGGTGGAAATATCATTGAACCACAATGAAAATGATAATACTGTAGGTATTACTTATACAATTTCTTTCTTTTTGTATCACTTCTGAAACAATAGTTTTTCGCATGCATAACATTATATTTAAATACGAAAATCTAAAAGTTCATCAACAGGTTATACAATATGTATCTGAAGGGTTTCTTAGAGGATTTTACTCAAAAGCATTGAAAAAATGTTTTTTTTTGAAAATATGAATTTATGAAAGTTCCCGTACACAGACTATCAAAATTATTTAGTAGTTTAGACAATCTCGGGAAGTAAGATAAGTTCGGGAACTATGTAATTATATTATAGGTTTTTCCTTCTCTCGCTTGCTCCTCAACCCCAGCTAAGTATCAGCCCTGTAGGGCCCCATCTGTAATGGTCTATTGGCTCTTCAAGGCGCGCAGGGTGCCAATTTAAGTGGGATTAATAAACAAAAGAATAAAGCCTGAAATAAAACTAATATTACGATGTTACCTCTTCGCAGTGCACCAGTAAGAAAGCAGTTGTTTAGATACGACATTTATACAGAAACTTTTTGGAAGGAGCATTAACGTCTTAGATCTACTTCGTCTTCGTCTTAGATCTTAGATCTACAAAAACTAACTGCAAATTATTTAAATGGTAGGTAATTTGAATTTCATTTATTTATCGTTTATCTTGGGAAATATAAGATTATATAATAAGTATTGTGATGCATAAATGTAAAAATATTTTTAACAAAGATTTCACACAGTTTTGGTGACGTCAATTAAAATGTTTAGGTTATCAATAAATTTGAATTAAAATGTTCCGTTATTGGTCACTGACTGTGTGATAGGATAAGTAAAGCTAAAGTTACAGAAATCTACAATGTGAACCTTTGACAGATAGCTTTTAGGTATAAAATGAAAGTACTCTTTTCCTATTTCGTACAGTAACTAACTTAAAGGTATGTTTAGAGAAACTTTTGTAATATTGCTTAAAGAATGATAAAGAACAGAACGTTTTATATGTTTATGGATGTAAATAAAAACTACACTGTGTCTGAAATTTCGCGAGGTATACAAAATTAAAGTTATTTTAAAAGTGTACTAAAGATTCTAAACAGATTGGGAAAGAAACGCAGTATAGGTTACTATCATGTAATCAAATAATTAGATGACTGGAGGCTTTGTCTAAGTGGTGTTTCGTGATCAATCTATGAAGTACAAACATATTGACTAAGGGTTTCCTTATGGCTTGTATGTAACAAGGAACTTTAATGTGTCAATAGAATAATTATATAGTAGGTATAATTGATAATTCTCTCCATTATACTCCTTGCCTTGGAATTTTCCTCAACTTATGCAAAACATATTTCAGTCTCACGCGCAACTATAAATTGTTGGATAAAATCAAGGAACGATTGTGTTGTTCTTCAGTGTTATTCATTATATCATAGGCAGGTAGTGCTATTTATTTTACATAGTCGTAAACATGTAAAATATTTATTTTATTTTTAATTAAAACGTTGCACTTGTGCAGAAAATATTCATTAGATTCATTCTGTCGAGTGTGTTTTGTTTTTATTATATTGTTATTATACTTTGTGTTCTTTTTATGAAAGTCCTATTCCAGTTACCACCTCTGTATTGTAACTAGTTAAACATAATGAGATCATAATATTAACCACATAACTCTTATCTGCACTTTAGAAAACGCAAATCATATTTTATCAACTAACATGAGGCATTGAAATAAATAAAAGTACCAGAAATCCTATTTTAACCTAATAAAAATGAACACTTTATGCTGATAATTTTCTATATTTTATTTCCAGAGTACCTACCTAAGGCCTGAAGATGAAAGTACTAGTAGTGTTATCCGTATTCCTTGTGCTTACAACAGCAGTGCCCCTAACAAAAGACGAATTGGCTATACTTGAGGCGTTCGACTATGACGCCATTTTCGCCAAAGAAGAGAACAGAAAAATCGTCTTCGATTGCTTGCTAAACAAAGGAGATTGTGGTGATTATAAACAGATCGTTGGTGAGTAATTTAAGTGTTTCAGAGTTATCACTTTATTCAAACTTTCAAGAACAGAGTTTTCTTCTGTATTGGGTCCTGACATCCTATCCTAACGTTACTATTTCTCTGATGTTACATGAACCCACGGATGGAACAAATAGTTTACAATTGAGCTCGTATAAGATCAGTCAACTTGTGTGAGATGTAATTATGTAAGTGTGCGAGAGCCACACTTTATGCGCATTACAAGCTGTCTAATTGTCCTATAGTTTGAAAATTCTTTATTTCACGAAAGTTCTTAAACTACTGAACAAACTCCATGAAGCGAGATTTTGGACTGGTCTGATTAGAATGATATTTGGTCCGCTACTAAGTTGTAGCTATTCCCACAGAGTAGCTACCTAAGTTAAGACGTGATCGTTAGAAATGTCTTTCAACTCAATCAAAATGTCTTGGAAATTCAATGAGTAGCTGGAAAGAGGTTTTCACTTTCCGATCTTATAAGAGACATTATTATGTCACAAGAATTTTGTTTACGTCTAACTTATAAATGGATATTTAAAACAATTTAAAGTCAAATGGTCAACATTATGTAACTTTGAAGACACGTCATTTGGTTGTAGCAGATCTTATCCGAGTGTGATTTGAATAAAAGATACTTACGTTAATTCACTAATTTATTTATGCATCTACTCTTGAATTACAGAATAAAAATATACAGAAAATCCTAAGATATAAATTTCAAACAGGCAGCCTTATCGCTAAATGAGATTTGTTACAATAGTAATCTTTGGATGGAACTAAGGAATCGGGAAATGTAGTCGTCAACTGTACAATACTGATACTTTATGCATAAAAATACCTACTTATTAAATGCAGTATACTAAAAAAATACTAAGTAAACCAATATAATATGGGTTTGTGTGTGTTCTATGTATTATAATTAAATTGTTCATTTTGTTTTATGTACAGTATAATAACCTTTCAATTGTGGTAATATGAGGTTTCTTGAATTAAAAATATTTACCAAGTTGGTAGGCTCTATGTAACATCGAGTCTTCAATTACGTAACCTAAATGTATAAGGCTATAAACGATCCTAACACTAACTGAAAATAAACTTCCAACTTTTTTTCAAAAATCTCAGTAACTATTTGACGGGAATGATATTATAAGTAAAAAGGTGTAGATAGGTTACAAGCGCTCAGCAAGTGATACATTAAAATGTGGCTAACTAGCCACACTTTTTTCATATTTGTCTCTTTTTCACTCGCGATTATTGAATCATGCCATCTCACTTTGACGTCTAAACATACGAATTGTTCATGTGTGTATCAGTGTGTCATTTTTGAAAATCGAATTTTGTTGAGGTGACCTGTGTACACCATTTTACTTTTAATATCATTGGGTACAGGAGTATGATCCGATTACATACTTTAGCGCTAATACTTTGTTATATTATCATACTATACAATTTAAAAATATAAAAAATAGTGTCCCACCGGTATCGGGAACAGGGTCCAAGCTACTGGCGGTCAGGGCTCTAGAGAGAGGAACCTCCTGACAATACGAGCCGTGTCCAGGAGTACTACTTTCTGAATCAAGCCCTGGATCCAGCCACCTAACGAGAGCCTCCTAAGATGTTACTTATATTATTAAAGTCGATAATTTTAATGAATATTTTTTATTTTTACTTTTCAGATCTATCATTGCAAACAATACAAAGCAATTGTGCAGAATGTACACCAAACCAGAAGGAGAAATATGATCACGTCCTGAAATTATTGCAGGAAAACTATGCGTCCTTTTTCGACGAATTCATGCAAAAAATGGCTACTAAGAAGGAATAAAATTAAAATACAATTATGATTAATATTAGTAGTGGATAGATGAGACTGTGATTTTTTTCTAATAATGAACATTGAGATTGAAATGAAAACTAATGAAAATACATTCAAAAGATTTATTTATTAGTGAATGAAATTAAGTTTTGTAGAAATACATAAAATTTAATAAAAACAATGATTTTGATTTGTTTAATAATTTCATATTCTATATATTTTATTTCGTTTTTACACCAGTTGTTATTGCAATCGACTGTGTAGCAATTTGCTATTTCAATTTAAAAAGGCGCTTTAATTTTACTAAATAAAAAATTACACTACCGCAACTTGCTATTCTGATTTCATAAGGCGCATTGAGAGTTATTATGTGATTGTTACTGCTTCCTACAATATTAAAACAATCGTTTATATAGGCAGTCGTTTAGATATGCATTCAATTTGTTTGTATGTTCGTTTCCGTTCACGGGATCATAGGATCCCGGACCTTTGGAAGGCGTACGAGGGGCCGAAGCCAACTCGCAGAGGCCCTTTGAACAGTTTTAATCTAAATGTTTATTATTATGGTATAGGGCGGCGAACGACCCAATAGGTTAGGTGAAGGTAAGCAATCGGCACCGAAGGTTAGCGAATTTATGGCTTGGAAAATGAATGAATTGGTTCTCCCCTTGGGAGAGGGCAAGATGAGGCCGCCGGTAACCCAACTCACATGAAGAAACATTGCTTCATGCCAGTTGTCTGTAAGGTCGTGGTATCAGCCCAGTCAAGTGATACGAAGCGTGTCACGGCTCTATCACACTTAGATTTTAGTGTCACATTTGCCTGGTTTGGTGACTAATTACTGGACTGCACGGTTGGTGCAGTGGCTGGGCAACTGGCTGCCGTGCAAAGTGTCGCGGGTTCGATTCCCACAGGGAACAACACTTTGTGTAATCCACAAATTGTTTTTTCAGGTCTGGGTGTCATGTATATGTAAAATTGAGTGTATGTAACGCACCCACGACACAGGAGAAAATCCTTAAGCGGGGCAACGTTTATTCAAAATAAAAAAAAAACTTGCAAGAATGACAACCGGCTGGTGTTGTATCATGATGGAAAAGATACACAACCTAACGCCTTCGCCCCATATATGTAACACGGTTGTGATAATTTAAATAGTCATAAACTGCTCCTGCTTCTACAACAAGTGACATACCTATATACATGTGTGGGAGAGCCAAGCTTCGGCACGAATGGGTCGGCTCGACCGGAGTGATACCACGGCCTCACAGAATACTGGCGTGAAACAACCCACAGCGTTGTGTTTCGCCGTGTGAGTGAGGTTACCGGAGGCCCAATCCCTCCCCTTCCCCTATCCCTTCCCAATCCTTATATCCGCAACCCCTATCCCCAAAAGACCGGCAACGCACTCGTAACTCCTTTGGTGTTGCGGGTGTCCATGGGCGGCGCCGATTGCTAACCATCAGGTAATGCGTCGGCTCGTTTGCCGACTTATCCCATAAAAAAAAAACATATTTTTAAATACACTTATAATTTTTTATATAATGTATTGTAGGGTAGTATAGTTAAATCAAACGATGGTAGCGAAGCCGCAGGTAACAGCAGCTAGCTTAATTATGTTTGTAAGCCGTTTCTTTAATTAGACTCGATGTACTGTTTCACTTCTCACCTCAATACGTCATACCTACTTACATACTGTTACATTCGACATTATTGCCAATACATTCTCTTCTCTCTACAAGTCAGCTTATAGCAAATTTACCGTTTTTGAATGGCAAACAAACCTATATACCTACTTATTAAGTACATTCAAAAATCGTACTTGTAATATTTACAGAGATAGTGCCTATAATATCTGATTAAGTTGCTTAAAGCTAACTAGATGTGGTATCGATAATCATTATTATCGTTTTAAAACGAAACAAATGTATGGAGATTTCTGAAGGACATCAAAAAGTAACATGATCAGCAAAAGGATTTCTGAATATTCCTGGACTAGATGAAGATTTCGGAAAGACATCAAAAAGTAACATGGTCAGCAAAAGGATTTCTGAATATTCCTGGACTAGAGGGTCTGGTTCATATATTTTAACGCATTTTGTTTAGAAAAATGTAACATAAAAATTAGGCTTGATTATAACGCACTAGCTTTTGCCCGCGACTTTGTTCACGTGGAAAAGTTACTTCCTGCAGATTTTTGGAATAAAAACTATCCTATGTCCTTTCTCGAGTTCCAAACTATGTCTGTACCAAATTTCACAGTAATCGGCTCAGTAGTTTAGGCGTGAAGAAAAGACAGACAGAGTTACTTTCGCATTTATAATATTAGTTAGGATTATAATCCTAGTATTTGAAATTGTGTTCACAATTTATATTTTTTAGAATACAATGAAATTGACTTACATACGATGAAGAACAAGACATCTTCCTGGAGTCATTTCCATCGCCACTGCCCAAAACCTACTAAGCTACGTTATGCGGATAAATTTAAACCAATTGTATGCCACTAATGGCGCCTTGTACCTTTTACATACGATCATTAGCAGAAATAATTCCAGATTTATTTTGATATTTGCTCGTCCCTTCAAGGATCCAAAGATTGTTATTATATCACTAAGAGACTTCCACAGTTTGACCCCCAATAAAGCGTTTAGTCAGGATAACGGGTCAAGCGCAATATGAAGGAACGCGCTGGTTTTTAGCCAGTAAGGGTCTCACAATTCCTTTCTGAGTCATTTACAAAGGGCGGGAGAAGTCATTTAAAGAATTAAGATTGTTTTTTTGTTTTCATAGATAATTTAACAAGTTCATTGATCCCATTTGACGATTATTATTTCGATATTTATATGCAACAAACTAGTTTTGTGTTTATCAAATCATCAGGTGTTATTGTAAAATTCTGATATCAAATATTTACTTTTTTAAAACCTCATTGATAGGTAGCTAAAGAAAACAAAATTTTGGGTTCAGTTTCGGAACCTTCACATAATTAACAAATAGGTATGTAAACTTGTGTAGCACGTAGCTCATATCAAAAACGTTCTATATTCAAATTTATTGATATCTACATATTACGAAAGCCTCGGGTTTTAAAATTATCACTAGCTTTGAGACATGACTAACAGTTTGGATTTGTGGCAGTTTGTATATTGCATAAACTTCTGTGAATTTTTGCAGTCAATTTATGTGTAAATACGAATTTGAAAATAAGGAAAAATTTGAATTTTAACCTCCTTTCGTGTTGTTGTTTTGTTGAAAATCTTTATCTATGGTAAATGAGACTGGGCTTATTGACATGCTATAAGTAAGTACCTACCTATATGCCAGGACATAGGTCCAGAAACGTAGACAGAGAATTCTCTGTCTACGTCCAGAAGGGAATAAAACGGACTGATATTAAAGTAAAGGGAACAGTTCATATTACAAATTATACTCATATTATTTTGCTTATATATTAGAACAAATCTTAAAATGAAACATTTCTTCATTCCCAACATAAAATTGGCCCTGCGGACCTTATTTTTCAAATTAAGTGTAACTTCAACTAAACCAATCTTCAGATAATAAATGACCCTTCCAACTAAATTATTCTTATTTAAATGCATTTTTTAATATTCGATCACTATAAAAACATTCCTAATCGAGTACTTCGATTTTAAACTTTGGAAGACAAATCGATACCGTTCTCAATAATTAAAAGAACGATTATTAGCAACTGAGCAAAAAACTAGAAATAAAATCATTTGTTCAATAATTTTGAGCATGTATTCTTCCTACTGCTAGAACAAAGGCTAGAGTTATCCTAATATAAAACGTTCATCTATTTAAGGATGCTTTGGTAAGGCTACAAGCATAGATACGTGTACAATACTCAGACGGCCCTCCTGCCGCGATGTTTACGATTATGTCACCAAACCGGGGTTCATAAGATGTTATTGACATTGCATCCCAAACCAGTTCTCTCAGAATCGATGTTTATATCTCCAAACACTTCGAAGGACTTTATTTTTTCTTAATCTTTTTTAAGACACAGTTATAATAACGGGTTTAGAAACAAAGGATAACGGTTTTACAGTTAGCCTGCCCATTTCTACATGCAAAGCCTATAATGCTTTACCTTCAGATTAGTTAAGACTTAAGATAGTATATAGGGAATGGAAATTCTTTGTATTCTATACTAATATTATAAAGAGGTAAAATTTGAAAGTTTGTATGTAGGGGGTAATCTTTGGAACCGCTGGTCGGGTTGTAAAAATTCTTTCACTGATAGATAGCTACAATGTTCCTGAGTGCTATAGGCTATAAAACATCACGCTACGATGGAGCCGAGCAGCGGGTTAAACCGCGCAAGAGTGGCTAGTCTCCTATATGTATAGAACATTAGATAAGTCGAGAAGTGAACTTCGCATAATTCGATGTGTCAAGTCTATTGTAATTTACGCAGAACGATAATACCTAAGTATCGACAATGTACGTCATAAGGCTCATGATATATGCCTTTGAGCTTAAGGTTGCGTAATGAATTAATAACATTGCCATAACCAGTAGTTATGACAATAAGTAGCATAGCAACTAAGTATACCAAGTAATTTTTTGCCTCATATTATTAACATTAAAATACTATAAATTTTATTACACGCCTATTATACAGGACTGCAAGAAATACTAAATATGAACATGGATTTTGTTTAATATTTATTGCGACTACGACGACTAATGCGATCCAGATAAAAATATTCCAAAGATAAAACAATGAATTCTCCTTAAATAAGGCTATAGGTAAATTAGCTACCAAAACAAATGAAAGTCAAAAGTCGAAAATAGCTCCAAAAGATGTAAGTATGTGTAGAACAAACAATACATTGGGTACAAGGAGAGCACAACAAGATCAAAGCCATGCAATGAATATCATTACCGGTGGCGGGCGCACTGCTTTCTTCGTCGCTTAGTATGCGGTCCGTTACGTCGACCCCAACCCGACAGGTTTGAGAACAGTTCGCACCCCGCCGGACAAGACGTGGGGATCACGAACCACGGGTCCACAACCAACCAGACCCACCATTGCGACAGTCGACGCCGCAAGAGAAGCACTTGCACAACTTTCTTCGGTAAGTATTTTTCTATAAAAAGCTTCTTAGAAAGTGCTGTGAAAGTGAGCGGATGTCTTAGTTTGTTCTTAGAAACGTGTGACTCCAACTGCATGTTTTCCTTGTTTTTTTGATTCCGGGATATTGTGTACCTTATTCTTTTTTAGATGCTTATTGACATTGTTTTTGTTTTGTTTAATAGCAGTTTCTTGTTAAATCTATTAAATATAATATCTTCTAAATACGATATTATCATTAGAAACAGATGGCTTGCTATTAGAATTAATAAATTGTGATATTTAACCTTTGTAAACGATTGGTTACAGCGATACTAAATTCTTTATCGCGTAACTTAATAATATCTACTTATTTATTAAAGAGTGGCTTCAATCAGGAGTTTCCGAGAAATAAGACGGCTTGCATACTTACTATTTCACGACAATCCTTTTATTTTTACAATACCCAAGTGCGGGAAAGTAGAATAGATATACCGCAAGTATTGTAGCCTTGACATTGTACGTCGCTATTGTTCTTTTAACTTTCTTCGATCTCGATTCGTTATTTACTCTAAGCAAATCACGTACTTGACACTTAGAATTAAAATAAATGGTGTATTTATATGGGTTATAACTACAGAGTCAGTTGTATGATGTTCTACCAAGCAGAAAGGAATAAGTTTTAGGATTATAATGATGACATTGTGATATTTAGTTGATGACTTTACTGAAAAACCTTCTCAGTTCAGACTTAGGTATATTCTGATTATCTATGACAAACCAATACGATTTGATTGTACGGTTGGCGCAGTGGCTGGGCTACTGGCTACCGCGCAACGTGCTGGGGGTTCGATTACTGCACGGAACAACTCTTTGTGTGATACACAAATTATTGTTCCGGCTCTGTGTGTGTTGTGTATGTGAAATTGTATGTTTGTAAACGCACTCACGATACAGGAGAAAATCCTAGTGTGGGGTAACATATTGTGTCTGTCTGTGTCATAATACAAATCAACCATGTTATTTCAACTTAATTTTTCTTCTACCAGGTAACCATAAAGATGAGGAGCTGGCTGTTATGTCTGTGTGTGCTGACGGTGGTGGTGTCATGCTACTCCCAAGCTAATCGCTACGAGAACTTCAATCCTGACGCCATCGTTCAAAATGACAGGATACTGCTAGCCTACTACAAATGCGTCATGGACAAAGGACCCTGCACGAGGGATGGAAAGAACTTCAAACGTAAGTTATTTAAATTTTTTTAAGCGATAGGTCGTCAAACTAGCAGACGGATTACCTGATGGTAAGCAATCAGCGCCACCCATGGACACCTACAACAACAGCGGAGTTACGAGTGAATTGCTGACTTTTTGGGGATCAGGGATTTTGAGATTTAGGGTTTGGGGAGGCCGGGGTTGCGGGGTAAGCGCAATGAGGCACCGCGACCTCGGCCCAGGGCAAGAGAAGGAACAGGGGGTTTTTAGTCAATAAGAGTCTGACACTCCCTCCCGCCCGGCGCTGGGCGGGAGAAGTCATTTGATGATTTTTCCCCTCACAAAAAAAAAGAAAAGGGATTAGGGGAGGGGAAGGATTGGGCCTCCGGTAACCACATTCACATGGCGAAACACAACGCTATGGTTGTGTCACGCCGATTTTCTGTTAGGCTGTGGTATCGCTCCGGTCGAGCCGACCCATTCGTGCTGCAGCGTGGCTCTCCCACACTTAATTACAGTTGATTTTAATATTACTTATTGATGATGCTAACTTCACTTCATGCATTCTATTCTTCATTCATTTGCAAGAAGTCATCGCACTAGGAGCGATGTCTATGAATATAAGTCCTGGTGTCATTTAAAAACTAATATAAAACTGAACTTAATTCTCCAATAGATTTTGTGATTATCCTTTTACATGCGATGAGACATGACAGAAAATAATTAGTATGTCAGTTACATCGGTTTGTTTATGGGATATAGGGTGGAATATTATCAAATATTTTGCTCGCCCTAGGTGAAGCTAGACCTTTACCGTCTTTAAACCATCTCGTTCTTTCTTCTGCAACAATCCTGGCTGAAGTGTATGTCAAATCTACCTTCAGATCTATAGCATACCAGTGTATATACTCATGGTATATTATTTATAATTAATTGCTAAACAGCTACAATGTTAAAATTAATAACATTTAAAATTAGAGATATATAAAAGTTTAATGTCAGAGTATTCTAGCTTATGTCAGCGGAACAGGTACGCGTAACTAAATTACAGATATATTAAAAGATGCAGCTAACTACCGCAGTATACTTAAATAGTTCTTAATCATTATGAGAGTCATCAAACCAAATGTAAATTCCTTATACATATATGCTAGTTAATTTTCCATTGCGGGTGACTTTATGTTTTGCATGCACTGACTTTAACATACATGATTACATAAGATTATAATAGAACTAATCATTTTATTTATGATGGCAATAAGAGAAATAATTTCTATTATTTTAGTAAGCTTCAGAATAATATCAGTGTCAGTTACAAAAGTCTGTTATAAAAAAAAATTACAAAACATCTGTAAGGGGTGTACTAAGGCGCGTTTGCTAGAGCAATTTATGCATGTATCGCGGCCCCAGCCCAAAGCAGAAAAAGGACTTTCCTCCTCAAAAAGATGGGATTTATTTAGACAAAACAGATAAAACTATTCCAACGCGGTCAAAACTAAACAATTCAAGGTGAACAATTCAGAAAGCGTATACACCTCATTTACTGCCATTTCCATGCCAAAGAAAAGTCTTCTATCGCTCTTTCGATACTATCTTTACCAGTTATTGGAAAACTTTACTATAATAACAAATTCTGCTCACGGAATAAACCGCAATCTGTATTAAATAAAACATTGTTGTCTCACTTCATTAACTAACTCAAAGTATATGTTTACATTTCATTTGAGTACAAAAAATAATAATAATAGAAATAAATCTCATTCTATAAATAATTGTTTTGTTAAAACGAATTGATTATTTCTTGTAACTTTTAACATAACTTACAGCTGTTTGTAATTTAATTGTGTATAGAGATTCGATTAAGCAAAAATATGATATAAAAAGTGATACGTATTATGGATCTGACTATGATGGGAATTATCCAAAAACTTTGTTGAGTAGATTAAAGTGGATATATGCTTAGAAGCAATTGTTAAAGTTACCAGTAAAATTTAAATAAAGAAACTAAATTGCCAGAATAGAAAAGATTTCTAAATGTTATCTTTACAGTAACAAACACTGTTTTTAAAAGGCCAACAACGTACTTGTAGTTTCTTTGCGTGTCCTAGGATATAGCTAATCGTCCAAGTAGATACTTAATTTTTTATCGTCAAACATACAAAATTAATTGAAAATAACGCCTTACTCACGTGAATTGACTGACTGATATTATACTACCTCATCCGTCCCTTACCCAAACAAAAACTCAATGCTTATACCTCCCCACTGAATATTTACCGTGAAGAAATAAAATATTCTGTTATTAATACATTCAAATTGTATTGTTCTAGGTGTTCTACCAGAAACGCTAGCTACCGCCTGCGGCCGCTGCAACCCTAAACAGAAGACAATCGTCCGCAAGCTTCTCCTGGGCATCAGATCCAAGAGCGAACCTCGTTTCCTTGAACTGCTGGACAAGTACAACCCTGATCGCTCCAACAGAGATGCTTTGTACGCTTTCCTTGTCACTGGGGCTTAAGACCAAAATCAAAACTTCTATGCGCGATTAGACAGTTATTACCCATTCACAGAACTTGTAAAATTAATCTTCTCTAAGCTATGGATGTTTAAAAGAGAAGCATATTACTCGATTGCTTTATATCACTTATGGCAATCCCCATCACCTGAATTCGATTCACATGACCAGTATAATGCCTACAAAAGTAACGTTACTTATCTTAAGTTTTAATTAAGGAGTTAAATCAATCGTTAATCAATGATAAATCACCGTTTTGTACTCAATCTGTTTAAAGACAAGTTTTATTTGTACCGTTACGTGTTAAAAGTGTATTAATTAAGTTAAAGACAGTATTGTGAATTAATATTTACACCTTGAAGCAGTTTAAAATCGGAACTCTTTATCTACGAACTGCTCTTTTTGATTATTTTTATGTGGATTTTATTTTTGGAAATCCCGCGAAGCATTTATAATTTATTCAAAATGATTTCAATTAGTTTAAGACTTAGATTAAGATATTAAAAGATATTTTAAAACATTTTGTGGTTTCAATCAGACCTATTAATCACATTAAGCATAACAGAAGGCTGCTATTAAATGCAAGCTTGTTTCGTCATTGAATATGCAGCAAAACAATCTTCATTGAACCGATAATTATCGTAGTAATATGCCCATGCATAATTACTACCGACATATTTGCCATACTGTGGTCTGTTCTGAGAAATAAGGTATTTTATATGTTAGTATAAATATAGGACAGGTCGACGAGTAAACCACTCAGCTGTTGGACAGTGATCGAGATTCACCTACTACTGTAAAGAGGCCAGTAATCATGAAGGTAGCTCTACTCACACTCTGCTTCGCTCTTGGAGTTCTCGCTCAGGATACGTACGAGAACGCCAACGACAACTTCGATATTTCCGAGGTTCTGAACAACGAGAGGCTCCTGAACTCCTATGCCAAGTGTCTGCTCAACAAAGGACCTTGCACTCCAGAAGTAAAGCAAGTTAAAGGTAAGAGTTTAATATCATAAGAGCGTAATTATCATAAAAAAATCACAAATTACGAGACAACTCAAAACATAAGACAACATATAATAACAATAGCCCAATGTCCTAATAATTATTTGTTGACATAAACTACATTCTCTTGGTTCTTGTCTAACAAGAGTCTGAAAGTTGCAAAAGAGACATATCCTTCGGAATGTAATATCTTTCATTATTCCCAAAGTTTATTAAAGCTTTGTTCCGTAAAGGATTCTCCAGCAGTTTCATTATACTATAACTATTTTTGAGGCACGTTTAACGTTCAATGACAATCAAAAGAACTCAAAGGTACGTCATCTCTGCTGAGTTTATTTCAGCATTTCTTCTCACAGTAGCCAAGCCGTCTTCATTTTGTTTGTTACATATTATTTTGACGTGTAAAAGGGTTGTTTTATGGCAATTTTGCAAAAATAAATTCAGTGTTGTTATTTCATTGTTTCAATGATCAGTTAAAAAAAGCTGTTTCTTGAATAAGATCTATTTGTACACTTAAGTCAGGAAAATTCTTATCAATATATCTTGATGCCTACAGTTTCACTTAAATATTCTTACCGTGTATCACCTACCAATTGTCCAAGGTCCACCATCGCTTCATAAGTAGTAGCGTAGTAATAAAGGTACTCCTTAAAATTATCAGCCATGTCGGACAATGACGATAACGGTGTTCTAAAACTCAATATTCGAACGAAGGTGTAGGTAAAAATGTTAATGTATTTTGGAAACTGTTCGCTAATACACGTAGTTCACTTGCATTAACATGATGTACATATGAACGTTTTTGAGATTTAGAATCCCTACCAGGATAGGAGATTCAAAATACCTATACTTCATATACTCGTACAGTTGTAGCTTCTTTATAGGGCCTACATTGATAGAGTTGAGATTACCTAATCTCTCATAAATGCCTAGTAAACGGCAGGTTACTTATTATTATTTTATGATTGACTAAAATTGACTTTATATATTTAAAAATAAGTGACTATACCACACGACTTTACTTTGATAATATCATAACAATCCAATAATAGAAAAATATATGTTAAATAATGAATCTCTTTTTTCCTTTAAGAAAAATTACCGGAAGCCCTGGAAACTCGGTGTGCGAAATGTTCCGACAAACAAAAGCAAATGGGCAAAGCTCTGGCTCAAGAAGTGAAGAAAAACCATCCCGACATCTGGCAGCAACTGGTGGCTATGTACGACCCTGAGGGCAAATACCAACAAGCGTGGAAGGACTTCCTTCAAGAATAAAACCCTAAATTATAATAACAAATACATTTCTCTCAATTTTAAAATTTACCAATAAGTCATGACTGTCTAAATTAATATCAAAACAAAGCAAAACATTATATTATAATAAACACTGATTGATGTACAGCTTTTAGTTTCTCTTCATTTAATCTCGTTCTCGGAATCATTTCTCATTGCCTGTCTAAATGTCTCGAAACAGACCCAACCTTCAGAATGATGTTTCTTAGCTTCTCCCCAAATTCTATTGAAACTTTCATCTGTAAATTTTTCTCCAGCTGCCTCAAAAACTCTTCTAACGACGTCTGGTTCTCTTTTCTGGAACATATCACGATGCGAGACAAAGAACTGTGACAACACGCTTGGCGACAAACACGATTTAGCATCAGACTCTTGTGGAAGACAACTTATGTCTGCTTTACACATCCTTTCAGGTGTTATGGGGTAGTTTAAATCGAAATATCGCCCTGAGGGTAAACCAGCCATTGGGCTAGTATTTGGTGGCTGTCCTGGTTTAACCATTTCAGAATAAGTAGTTCGAAAGTCAAGGCAGTCGTCCGATACATCAGCTATTTTAGGGACATCAGGAAGAGGTTCTCTATAATTAAAGACATGAACAAATGTGCTATATTTAATTTTAGAGCCGTCGAATGCTCCCCATGTTGATAAAAGCGGCTCTATCAAATTAGGATCGAATCGTATTAGATGGGTCCCACATAATCTATATACTGTTTCTTTTGATAGCCAACCCAACTTTTCTTCATCAAAATATTTAAGTTCCAAGTAAAACTTGCGATAGAAATTTGGTAGTAACCGTGTAGATAAGCCCTTTCGGACGGTATTCAAATGCTTAAAGCACGTCCTAAAAAATTGTAATCCTTGGTTTATCTCGCAGAAAGTAAGACATTGTGGTAAATTATCAGGACGGGACAGCTTACCGAAAGCGTAATCTTTAGGAACTGCTGTAATGTTTTTGTTAGGAGCTAGTACCTGACCCATTCTTGAATTATGAGTGTCTAAGTAATTTGTTTCGATTGAGTTGATTATAAACCTGTGCGCTGTACCGTTCATAATTGCATCATCAGTAAGACAACACCGAGCATATGTACCACGTTTGTCTACACCTGTACGGTGCCCGTACGTTAAATCTTTGTCAAACGGGGGTGCACAATATTTATGATCCTTCTGCACACCAGCTTCTTTTGAATGAGGTGTTTTATCTGGTATTGGTTCGATTGGGAATAAAAAATCGTAAAGTCGCTCATTCGTGTTCAATTTTTTGCCATATGTTGTTCCTTGTATATCAAAACCTGCCGGAAACATCGGAACTGGATCTTTCACTTTTCCAACTGCTTTGTTCCAGTAGGATGTATATGATGTTTCTTTGAAATCATCTGCTAAGCTTTGAAATTTCGTTTTAGTGGGTGGATTAACAAGATAATTAACTTGCCCACAAAGGCCTCCATGCCGTTTATCTAAGGGTATTGGATGACGTAAGGGTGGAAGAGGACGCGGTTTGGGTGCTGGTACGATTGCATCACTTATTAAAGCGTCCACTTCATCTTTTAACAGATAATGTTCTAAAGCATCTTTCACTGTATCATTCGCCTGAGCCGTTGGAATACCAGCAGCGAATACCTTTGGGTCCCGTTCGATAAACATCCCCCGATTTCCCTTACCTCCGGTAGTAGCAGCCTTATGACATTCTTTAGACATTTCAAATATTTGTTATACTAAAATACAAATTATAAGAACAACAACGGCTGCAAAGTAAAAGTAGTAAGATTTTCATGTCATTTTGACGTTTTAATATTTTTTTAAATTAAATTCATTGTTCATTCATATACGAACTCTTTGAGAAAATTAAGGAAAACCTTGCTTAAATGTAAATGGGACATGCAGGAAGTACTAAAAGGAATCAGTTGCTTCTGTTTTCATTAAAACCAAGGGTCGTCCGGCAAGTGAGCATGAATCATATGCGTATCACTGACGTCGTATGTGATAATGCACCTATTACCAATGTACTCACGTCTTGTAGATCTTAATAATCACTTCTGTTTGCTCTATGCGCACTTATGGACGATGACAAACAAGGCTTTATATACAACTAGGTATTTCACTTCCTCCGCAGTTGTGTTTTTCTCACCTAGCTGGACATATTTCACAGGTAATTTATTTGTCTATTACAAATCACAACCCATAGAAATTAAAATTTTCCAATCTTTCTTCGTTTTTATCACTCTTAGAATTTATAAATCCTCACTTAAAAAATGGTTTCGTTGATGTGATTCGTAGCACGCAAAAAAAACTTGAATACTTGATTTATAAATAGGTGTATATGTATAAACAATCGTTTACCAATCATAGATTCGTTTTATCGTTGCACTTTCTTGGCGGATTTCCCGCAATTTTCCATAATTATTTTGAAAGTGAATTAGAGAGTAATATTACAGGTTTAGTGTTATATAAACAACCGTGAAACTGGACGAGGCATAAATATGTTGCTCATGTACCAAGTTTCTGGGAGAATTTATGTTGGTTTAAGTAGATGATTAAAAAGTAATGTTTTTGTGATAATAGATAATCTATGTTGTTATTAATAGGTAAATATGATGAGGAGAAAATCACCTTTTTTGAGAGGACAAAATCACCTATGGCTTTGTCATAGTCTTCGAGTCCAACTCTTACTGGCTAAAAACCCACCCTTTCGTTCTCCTTCTCCGGAGACTATAGGCTATGAAACATCACGCTCATATTTGCATGAGCCGAGCAGCGGGTGAAACCGAGCGATAATAGCTATTATAGTCATAAATATCATTGCATCTTTTCAGTTCATCATGAAGGCTGACTGTGTGTTTATTATGACGTTAATGACTGTCGTCGCAGCTGATTTCTATAACTCAAAGTACGACAGTTTTGACGTTCAACCACTACTGGAAAATGACAGGATTCTACTCAGTTATACAAAATGTTTCCTAGACCAAGGACCCTGTACCCCTGACGCAAAAGATTTTAAAAGTAAGTTTGGATTTCTTTTGGCGTGGAAAAGAAATAAATCTACATTACCTACTTATGCATGTTACTAACATTCTAATTTCATATCCAAAATTCACCCAGTTTTGAAGCAATAATTTCTGGATCAAACAAAGAATTGTTCTGTGCGGGAACTTAACACACGACACGTTGTACATGTGCACGTTTTGCAGGCGGGTTAGATTTAAAAAAAGATTTATTTCTAGTGTTTCATTTCATTTAAATTGCATTTTTTACTCTTAATGTGGGTAAAATTAATTAGATGTAAAACGAGGCAACCCTGATGAAAGAATATAATTATTGTGAGTCTTTATAAACATTTAAAAAAAATTTCGTAAGATATATCTTAAGTAATAGGACCGTTTTTATGATGTTTTATGATACAGCTTATAGAAATGAAGTATAAATAAAGGTTCCCTTATTTTTGTTTCCAGAAATAATTCCAGAGGCCCTAGAAACTACTTGTGGCAAGTGCAGTCCTAAGCAGAAGCAATTAATAAAGAAAGTGATCAAGGCTGTGATAGCTAAACACCCTGAGGCCTGGGAACAGCTCAGTGACAAATATGATAAGGACAAAAAATATAAAGACTCCTTCGACAAATTCTTAGCAGAACAAGATTAAATAATGTAATTTAGTTTTTGTGAATTGTACAGGCGTTTTATAATTTATCGATTTTACTTTGTAAGTATAGTACCTACTTAATTTTACGATTAGATATATAATGTTTTTTTATAAAATAAAATTTGTTTAATAAATAAATTAATGCTTTAATAGATTCTAATTCGATTAAAAGATGTTTAAATATTTTCTACGTATTTACATAATGTAAAATAAAAGAAAAGCAAGTAATAAAAAATAATTTATTTTTAATAAAGTCCAATCGAATAATTACTTTGGTAACTGCGTTTCTGAACACAATTTAGATTTCCACCACCTGTTCACTAGTAAGGTGAACTCTCCATCCTCAAACAATCTGGCATCTTACTGTCGCTTGACGGCATCAAGCTGGTTCTTGTACCTCTCTTGGTAAATGTTCTCGGGGTCATACTTTCCTGATAACTCCTGCCATAGGTCTGGGCGTTTGTTCACCAAGTGCCTGATGACCTTGTCTGAGCTCTTCTTTTGTTTTTCCGTACATTTGCTGCACTCATGTTCTAAGGCGTCTGGGAGAGTTTCCTTGAGGGCTTTACCATCAGGAGTGCATCGTCCTCTGTCTAGCAGGCAGTCCACGTACGCTTTCAGTAGACGCTGGGACTCTAAGATCTCGTCTACGTTGATATTGTCCCACTTGTCGGTGTAGGTGGAGGCAGGCTTAGCCCAAGCAACTGCCACCAGGCAAAAAGCGGCTACAATGATTAGTTTCATTTTGTATCTGGAAAATAAAAGAATTAAACTATTAGTTCAATTATTTTACAAACATTAGGTCCAAACCTAGGTTTGGCCATTATCCATGACACACTTATAGCAATCCTTATTATTATAAAACAACACAAGATTCTAATTTATTTAACTCCTTTAATAGGTAACTTTATCAATCTAGCTTCGTACCTATATGTAGTATAAAGAATCGATAATTTTTCCACAAATGTATTACAAAACGTAGTGACAATGGCAAAATGAGATGGCTGCCGGTAATTGTTCGCCGGCAGACCTAAGTACCTATGTTATTAATTAGTGAGATTACCTATTGTCTCATTGTTACGACGATAATAGCACGATTGTTGTGATTTGCTGTGTCTATGTGTGCCTTTTAATATAAATTTTGATAGGCTATTAGGTCAAGTTGTAAACGTATGTTGGAGTTTTTTAATTACTAGGTTCTAGACTCTTACTCGTTCCTAAACGTCTATTTTAGAATCTTTAAAAAATATAGCGTGGTGGGCCGCAGGTTAAGGCCTAATTCTTATTCATGAAGGAGCGGGTACTGACAAGAGCTAATGTGACTTTTACCGAGTTACATATATGAGTAAGATAGATGTAGCCGTAATATAGTTATATCCCTAGGGATATAATTATATACCGCAACATAGTTATACGAAAGCGATTAATTACTTTCTTACTAAGGATATAGTTATAAAACGGACCAAGTTTAGTGATATACTCTAGGATAAGTTTACTCTCTAACATTCTTTAGACACCACATGCATACGATGAAGGAAACATCGTGAGGAAAACTGGACTTATGATTTCTGATAATAAGTTTGAAATCGCCAACCTGCATTGAGCAAGCATGGTGATTAATGCTCAAACCTTCTCAGTGAGAGAAGACGTCTTTGCTCATCAGTGGGCACTTATTTTAATCATCAAAGAAATAACAAATAATTTATCCTAAATCAGATGGATACCTTTACAGACACTCAAACAATTAATTAACAATCTATATACATGAATATAATTCAAACTGCAGCCAACTGGTTTAATTGGCCTCAACAACTACCCGTTCGGTTGAGCAGCTCAATTTCTCTTTTAATATAATTTTAAATGAAAAAGATTGAATTGCTGAATTTCTCTTCCAGACTGTTAGTCGGTGGGTGAAGGGTTTAGCACCCAGACTTTTAGAATTCAAGGTATATAAATTGTAAAACTAAAACCAACAAAAATTACAACAAGTGAAGTCGGTAAATAAATAGTATAACGGCATGTAAGGGTCTTGTAAACACAAACCCACGACTGTAAACATAGTCATGAATGCATAATGCATAGCGCTAATGGCATATCGTAAGTATTGCAATGTTATCGAGTAAGCATTATACACGACCATACCCATAGCGGTAATGTATTTTTATAATGTTGTAAGCGAATTATACCATCACATCATCATTAGCCTGTAAGTACCAATAGCTAAGCAAAAGATTCTTCTCACACAGAGAATGTTTAAGGATTAATCGTCACCCTTGAAAAAGTCAAAAGTTGAAAATCATTTATTTCAATTAGACCCACACAGGCTATTTTAAACGTCAAACACATTTTAAAGAGAAGAGAATAAGATATAAAGTGTCTTGCTTAAGGCTTTCAAATTTATTATTGGAAATTTTTAGTCCAGGCAGTCTCAAGATTTTTTCCTACATTGTTGAATGAATGAGTGGCGTCTAAATAGTCTTAGAAAATACTATATATAACTCGGCAAAAGTTGCAGTTGTACTTCCCAGGTTGAAACAAAAATATTATTGATGAATGAAGCCTTAAACGTACTAATAATAAGAAATATATGTACTTTGATCTTCGCTGATATAATGATACGTGACTTTGTATTTATTTTTAGGCTATGTTAAAAAAATTATGGTGTTTATAACCACCCAACGAACTAACAACAACGAAAAAAGATCGCGATTTCATATTCTTTCTTTAAAAGATTTTTAGCAAGAAGAACCTTATCAAACTAGGGAATCGATTCAAGAATTAGGTTATAATATAAATCCATAAAAATATAAGAATATAAATAATTATTTTTAATAACCGATATTGTATAAAAAGTTTTAAGTCAGGATGTCAATAAATTTATCAGGAAAATTTCCGATCATTGTTTTAACCATTGGCTAATAGGAGTCAATCTGTTCAACAGTACTGATTGACAAGATCTAACTAATTTATACTTTAATCAGCTACTAAGGATTGTTTCTGTTTTCCTGGTTGTTAGACATGAAGATAGATGGAAAATTTTTATTGTCGTAGTTCCTTCTTTTAATCATTTATATGATATCATGTTGAAATGATTGAATATTAAATCCAAAAGGAGTTTTAACAGTTTTCCACGTGGACTTACAGTTGCAACAAATTTTCTACATCATGTGAACTTTCTTAACTGAGGTATCTCAACGATTTTTTGACTCTTACACCATGACTCCTAACGAAATATTTAAAATTGGAAGTCAAAACGCAAGCAAACATCTGGTGACGATAAATAAGATTGTCACTTGCACTTCAAAAACGCTTAACCAAGCAGTTTGAGGTTAAGAGTCCTGACAAATTTTATCAATTCTTTGCATATATGAAATAAGAATCATTGGAGCACGGTTCTTCTTATCACGAAGCGCAAATGATAATTTAAACACACTCTTCTTCTTGAAATTGAAATGATTTAATTCACTTAAATCTTTTTCTGTTTTATCAAAAGTTAGAGAAATTTTGAAATGTTCAATAATTTGCCAATATTTATTCGGTAATATTGATTTACTGAAAAGAAAGTTGAATATTATTAAAGGGTTGACTCACCGTATTTCCCGTGAGCTCCGTTCGACCCTTCGTTGGGCTGTGACGCCTTCATCTCGCCCATAACGGAATATATACTGCATTCACTTCTTGAATAAATCAGGCATTGTGACGACATCTATGCATATAATAGGCACCGGGATATTATAAACAATGGAGTTGCATTACGAGGTAATTTTAATTAGATGAATAATACCAATTGGTCAATCATTGATATTGTCATTTCAATTCATTTATTGATTTCCGTTTGTTTCAGTTGTATTTTTCCATATTTCTATAGGAAAATAGGGGGTACTGTGAAAGGGCATTTCCTGACATGACCTTATTGAGTAGATCGTGAAAGATGAGTCAGAGTATCAGACACGAACGTGAACAAACACGAAAATTTTCGCTGTGCAATCGGTGCTAAGGATTTGACAAGATTTCTGAACTAAAATGCATATATGTAGTAACTTACAAAATTCTACAAGCGGTTATTAGTTTTCCAGCCTGATTATTTTATGTCATAATTCGGCAAACGAGCAGACGGATTACTCGATGATAAGCAATCAGCGCCGCCCATGGACACTCGTGTCACCTACTAGGAAGTTACTACAAGTGCGTTGCCGACCTCTTGAGGGATTTTGGGGATTTAAGGATAGGGAATTTGAGGATTGAGGATAGGAGGGGGAGGAAGAATTGGGCCTCCGGTAACTTCACTGACATGGCGAAACACAGCGTTAGTATTGCTTCACGCCGGTTTTCTTTGAGGCCGTGGTATCACTCCGGTCGAGCCCGCCTATTCGTGGCGAAGCATGGCTCTCCCACTTAATGATGGTTTAGTTTGAAAACAAAGAACTTACTATCAACTGATATTTCGCCTGCAACTCTCTATCCAGCTGGGATGAGGTGTACACCCAACCGGATCGTGGGCCTTTGCTGAAATGTTGGCGCAGGGGCCTACTGTTGAAATCTTTGTGTAATCTACAAATTTTTGTTTTAAGGCTGGTTGTATTGTGTATGTAAAATTGTGTTTCTTAACATACCCACTCAACACAAAATATAATCCGTAACGGTAATATTTTAAAAACATATTAAATTTATTCTTTCTATTCATAATGTATTGTCATGCGTATTTATAATTGACAGAAGTGAAATCAGGCTCTTGCAAGATCTTTCAGGTTGATTATAAGGTAGACTTCCAAAAATGAAGGAGAGCTAAAACCTAACGAATAGAAGAATTTTATCAAGGTGATGCATGGCACAAGGTGAAAGGCTGGTTATAGTTCACGAACACAAGATGCAATTCCAATACACCGATAACCTGATTTTCTGAAGATAAAAATAAGAGTGAAAAACGCATAATTATCATGCACATATCAACACACGGAATAATATTTATCCTGGCACTCAAAGCAGTTTGGTAATGAACAATAATATGATAAGGTAAGATTATTTATCTGTATAAAGAAACACACATACAGAATATGATAAATGACCAATGGCGG